AAGCTTCGAAGCATGTAACCAAGCACACAAAGCCAGAACCTCCACATAAAACGTTAAAGAAACATAAGGAAAATAAAGAAAAAGATGCCAAAGCAAAAAAGGCTAACAAAGAAAAAAACACGAAAAAGGAAAAGGATGTGAAGACCAAGAAAGTCCAAGACTCGAAACCGAAAACCAAAAATACTAAAACCAGCAAACATAAGCAGAGAGACAAAACAGAAAGACATGAAAAGCATCAGCATCAACGCAAGCAGAAAGGCAAAAGTAAGTATGTCAGTCAAACGTTTAACCGGAACTGACGGGCACAATACACCCATACCTTTATAAATTTTATAAATGATAATTTTAATATCAATTTGAAAAATGCTGAATAAGGTCAAAAACAGCTAGATGTTAGTATGGATATATTCACAAAATACTACAAATTTGTTCATTATAATTATTTTGTGTGTATAATTACAGTGGTGGAATGTTTCAATAAAACACCAATGCATGCATGCTGGCTTTCATGGCCGAGCATGCAAGATCAAAACACAAGGTCAAAACATGTACTTCTACACTTGCTTTACATTCGTGTCTTTGTTCATATAATTATTCTCTTTTTGACAAACGCAGAAGTGCAAAAAGACGATGATGACGATGCATTTAATATCAACAAACTATTTCCTCCGAAGAAACACGACTGGAAGAAGTTCGACCCCAATGCACATCCGTGGATCGGCACTCAATATTCAGACTCGAAGCAAGTAAAACCATGGTTCATTCATCCTGCTGCCCAAGGGCGAAAAAGACCCAATATCCAACCTTATGGTGCGAGGGCCGCTGGTGCGAACCGATATAACCCACGCTATCCACAACCTGGTGGACAACGAAATCCATACTGGGCACAACAGCGGTTCCAGCAACAGCTGCTAGCACAATCTTTATGGGATGGTTATCAACCACAGCAACCAAATATCTACACACCACAACAGCAAAGTAGCTACCAAGCTCAACAACCGAATCCTTACCAAGCCCAAAGCTTAAATGGCTTCCAACAGCCAACATCTTACTCTCAGAATCCACAACCAACAAACTTCCAAAGTCAAAACACCGCCAATCAAGGCCAACAGCTACAACAGGTGCAAACCCCTGTTGTTCAACAATCACCTGCAGTTGGGCAATTTTCCACAGGCTTTGGAGCGGGCCAAGCTCCAACCCAAAATCTTCAGCCGCCAACCACGTGCCCTGCAACCTGCAGTCGTAAATGCACGACGGAATGTCCCGAAGAATGCTGCGCAAAGCATTTCGAAAAAGTTAACGATAAAGAATCGGGACCAAGTTCCTTTATTAGTGACTGTCCGGCCGAGTGTAAGGTCAAGTGTGGCATTCATTGTCCACAGAAATGTTGTGGTTTAAACTTCTGTCCTTTCGTGTGCCGCAAGTCGTGCTTATCCAGCTGCCCGAAGAGATGTTGTCTTCTACTTAAAGAGTTTTTGCCACCTCTTGCTCTTCCCCCGCTGAAGCTATCGGCTGCTATCTGCCCAAATCATTGCGGAAACAAATGCTCCACTGACTGCCCCCAAGCTTGTTGTTCAAAGAGTGTAATTCCCGATCAGACGACAAAATGTCCATCTGTTTGTCTAAAGGTAGGGGCTTAAGTACTCTAGTGCAGTGCACATTTCTTGGTGTCAATTTTAAAAATTTGTGGATACACGGCGTAAAAAAAAGTGGCATAACGCTGCCATGTTGAATGCCTTTAATAAACCTCTCTCATAAAAACGTCAAATCGGAAAGCCTATTATTACACAAATTTTGATTGGCTCGTTAGTTTTGCGGGATCGATCGTTATAAAATTATGAGAAGCCTTATTTGGACCTCATTATTATATAGTGTAGGGAGATCTGTTGGTTATGCTCAGACAAACTTTACAATAGTCCGGAGATTGTTAATGTCGACAATGATCATCTGGGATATAGGGACACTTTGGATATGTCCTAAACAGCAAATTGATTTTAGTAGATGGTAGATGCTGTGGAAATTGGTATAGACCTAAAAATGGCCATTTCACAGCTGTCAGATGTGTATGATGAGGTGTCAAAATATTGCAAAATGTGTATTCAGAAGAAAAATTGAACTTTAAGATATTCAAAAGGTTTCTCTTTGATAGCGGTACAGAAATGCACAATTGTAAACCAGCAATTAGATTTTCGGGCTGAAAAGTCATAAGCACCAATTTCTGCGGTGTTGCTAGCTATATAACAGTCGCAAGCATTTTGACGATTGGCGGGTTTAATCCATAAGAATGGTCAATTTCCCTTCAGGCGAACTTAAATGTCAATTTATGCATTTTAGTTTAAAAGATAGCAATCTTGCTATGACGCTTCTATTGGCGTATTAGCCGCTACCATGTTTCTAATGCTCTTCGCCTTTTCCATTCAATTTTCAGGGATGCACAATTGGTTGTCCTAGAGAATGCTGCAACGCGCTGGAAGACAAGGTCTCGTTTCTCGAAATTCACCATAAGCCCAGCTACCATCCCTCCGACACTTGCGATATGACTTGTAAAAAGTCCTGCACGACCGAATGTCCTCCGCGTTGCTGCTCAGCCGAAGTAACTCCTTCGACTCGGGCTTTAACGGTCGGGCGACGTACGTTCACCGGCTGTCCTTCCGTCTGTCGAATTGTGTGCGCCAGCGAGTGCCCAAAATATTGCTGTCCTGTGGAAAAGCCGGAGGAGAAAGCTAAAAAGGTTGGAGGAGAAAGCTCGGATGATGACGAGATGGAAGCAGACGATGACGACTATGAAGACGAAGATATGGATGAGAGTGAAGAACAGCATCATAACGATCTAGTTTTGAACAAAATGAAAGAACTGAGGCAACGTGAAAGAGAGCGTTTGGCACAAGAAGCAGCCGATAAGCTCGCTATTGCCAAGGCGAGGATGGAGGAACAGCAGAATAAGAGTTGTCCAGCAAGTTGTAATTCTCAGTGCAGCGCCACGTGTTGTCGACTATGTACGATTCCCGGACACAAACCGCATTTCTGTTGTAAGGTGTACTATCGCCAGGCATTCCCGGATTGCCCTGCGATTTGCGAGGAGAAATGTGATAGCACGTGTCCAAGACGTTGTTGTGGGCCCGGACGAACGCTGACCGGCTAAGCTATGCTGTAAAATACACAATTAAAAACGTCTTCGAAGACCTATACATTTGTACAGGCAATTGCTGTACATCTAATCAGACGGAGTACTAAAAGTACTTGTTTGTTATAAACTGTATTATAATGCCTGATGTAATAGTTGTTAAAACACACAGGCAGCATTTGGAACGGACACACCAAAGTAACCTGCGTGTTCAGCGAAGTAGTAATATTTGTACTTACAATATTGCTTGCATGCATGCAACCTGTATATGAAGAAGATGTAGGAGTCCGAATGAAGATGTCCACGTTTACTCGTATGGGTACTTCGCTATATTTCACTGTAAAATATTACCTAAAGATCATACTTCATCTTGCATAAAATGAAAATGACTATCGTTGCAACAAATATTTCTTGTGCTTCGTTTTTTGGGTGCTAAACGATGAACTGGATCAAAATGAAATCAGTGTTCTTTTCTTCACAGAATACAACGAAATGACAACTTAAGGTATACAAATACCAAATCTTTGTCTTAGCTACTCTTAATGTTGCTTGTCAGCGGCCTTCCTTTGCATGTGCATCACTTTAAAAAGGCCCATGTGATGGCGAAATGTTGCATTCTCAAATAACTGGCCGAATTCAGCATACCATCACCAGCTCAGTTATGTATATACTCGAACTCATGAAGTTTGAATCAAAACTCGTGGAAAAGTTGCATAGATGCATCAACTGAATTTTTTCATCAATTATATTGAATTTCATGGTTACAAGCATCTAAGGCCATTGACCTAAGCTGGGTCGCTCTTACTTAAAGTAATGTTATGTTAGAGATGGCCTAACATATATATAGAGTTTGCTAGAAAGCTATATAATTATATAGTTAGGATTGAACTGAACACTCGATCATCAGGGATATACTATACAACACTACATCAATACATAACGCTATGCGATAACTCAGCAAGGGGAATCCTATAATCTGACGACATATTTAAAGCTACTATCGCAAGTAGTATAGTTAGCTTTCTATACTGTTTCGCTTCTCGGCAACGATGTTAACAATTTTGACAGTTCATGAGTTAACAATCTTAATTTTACAATGAGTTCTAAGGTTGTTGTAAGGTTGTTGATTTTTCATCGTTACTGGCACTATAGCGGAATACTTCGCTAGCAGAAGAAAGTTGATGCATAGAAAACAGATTGTATGCTCGCGTACAATGCTCCTTAACGTTGGAATTTAGAATTTAGACACGGCACGAATCTTTCAGCTTATCAGAACACATTTCAATTGCACGCCAATAGCGCTGCTTTCCAATTTTTAAACAAATCAACTAGAAAGTCATTACAAGACTCTTGCCATGCAAGGAAAGCTACAAGCATATGATTATAGTAAAAAATACATCCCGCTTTAATTAAGAGAAGATAATTCAAGATACTCCACATAATTATAAAGGGCTGAAGCACAAGTCGAAAGGCGCGATTGAACAGCATATTTTTGATTATCTCATATAGCTGACTGGCGAAAACAGCAGAACCCATGCCACGCTGAATTCATTTATCCTATTATACGCTTTACCGAATCGTATACAACGCTTCAATTGAACGATGTACGCTCTGTTAGCTTAATGTAAATAGAGCTTCGATGAAAGACCAGAAATTGCAACCGAGGCTCCGTAAAACAACGCAAACCTAATTCTCAGGTAAATCCTCCCATTTTACTTTATATGAATGAGCATAGACGTTTGTTGAATGCTTGGTGTTTTTTGCTTTTTCGTTAACGCAAAGCTGTCAGCCGGTATGGTGGCAACGTGTACTTCAACCAAATATCAATTTATTATTTATACTTCATCGAAGGATAATGGCGGGCGGCGATCAAATGAAATGATAGGCGAGAGAAGCTCCTTGTTGTAAATAAACAAATGGCTTGGAATTTTCATTAGAATTTGGAAAATTGTCGCGTCAACTTATCTTGTAGGATATAACGATGATCCGGCCAAGATATCTGTTTTCGATTCTGTTACTACTAGTCCTATATACCTGCTCAGCTCTCGCAAATGTCGACCCGAAAGCAAAGCAAGAAGTTTCAAAGAATGGCCAAAAGCGCCTCGATATACATGGTATGTATTTGATAAGTGCGATCAAATGTTACTCTTGAAGCAGAAGGAAACGTCTTTAGCTATAAATGCATAGTCCTATAGCTGATAAGTCGACTACTCGAAGCTATAGCACAAATCATCATAGTTCATGAGGACTTGATTGCTGCCAAATGCGTACATTATATGATCTTTGATTTAAACAGGACTACATTAATCAGTAATTGGAAACGCGAATATATGTAATCTTGCTAGATCTAGCGTGGTCTGGCTTAGTCGCCGCAACAGTAAGCTTGGGAACGTCTGTTTATTTATTTGCGATATTTCAAGGCATTATCTGACAACATCGCTTGCCTGATAGGAAAATATGAATATGTTACAAATCGATTAATAAAAGAAGTATTGAGTCTGAAATTTACATGCAACTGATGCAAGCAGGTACGCCAACGGTTATTGAGACGCGGCAATTTTTGGGCTAAATTATCATATATGAATATATCTGTGGGTTTCGTAAAAGATAGTCGAAGATTCTTCGCATTTCTTGCGCTCCTGATTGTAAAAAAATGTGCGACAAATGAAGTTGTGACAAAAAGAGGCTGCTTTCCAGTCGCGAGTTCGCTTTGTTGAAATTGGCAAATTTAAAGTTCTTCTAAGGATCGAGATTCCAGGCTATCTCTTCCAAAATCCTAACTGATGTCTTGAATAGGGCATACATGGGCTTGGGAGGAGGGGGACGAACGGAATTAATTGCCGTTGGGTACCATCCCTAATAAGGGCATTAACGATTTACGGACACAGTCCAACTTTCTTCTCTGATTTCACTGTTTTTACACTTTATAATTTCCTGATCTCAAACGCCCTTTGCCACGACCTTCGAGGTATATGTTGCACACAATTATCATGCAACACGTAGCCTACATTGGTTGGTTTCGCTAAGCGGTTTTTTCAGTGACTGATTTAGGTGGAAGTCAAATGAAATGGTTTGACGCTAATGCAGAACAAGCGTGAGCCATGCGTTCATACGAAATCGTACATTTTTTGCAACCAAGAACAAAGCTACAATAACGATGCAATAACGAACTCACACACGTCGATCACTGAGTTTCTATTTCGAATTGACCACCACTGGAATCTAATCGTCAAATGTAACCTAATATTCAGCAAAAACGTCACCTCATTTCTTTCTCTTTTAGCAAGCAAATGGAGAGAAGCTCAAAACGCAATAAACAGTCTCATTGACGAAAGCATATGTAAGTACACGCTTTCTTCAACAAAATTGCTCTCCGCCTTTTTATTTCATGATATATTTAAATAAAAACATCACAATTTTCTTTTTATAGCAAACGAAGTAGCCAAAGCAAAGATGGAAGTTAAAGCGTTGTTGGAGAAAAATATAGGCAAGCAGTTAATTACTGACTTAGCTGAACGTAATTTGACAACGCTTTGGATAAAAAATTAGTGTAGCTTCGTCATTTCTTTTGCTAAAAATTTGTGGCATCGACTGCATCAAATGCAAGCCGGCAGATGCTCCCAATAAAACATAAAAGTTTGAAAATGATGGTATTTTAATCTGTAATGACAGATCGTCATAGTTACCTTGCAAAATATTCTGTAAATTTCCAAATACATGCCCTCCTAGGTTTATTGTTCTCTACAATTTTTTTAATTCAATCTTGTCGTGAGAAATGTCAACGACTTGATCAAAAATTTTCGGCTAATATATATATTTTCACATACGAGATCGGCACGCATGAAGGCTAACGTGTTTAACGTACTGTGAACTGATCTTTCTTAAAGCCAAACATTTGCATGAAGCAAGCAGACAAGTCATGCACAGCAGGTTGTCACAAAATGATGAGTTGGAACCAGCTACCGAGTTCGTTGAAGGTATACTAATTATGTTTATTATGACACCCTGTCAGTGTGTGTGACATTTACTCGAAATTTGGAATGATTTCTGCACTAGAATTTCCTTAGGACGATCTGGGTTGCTTTGTAGGTTCACGTGCCTGTCAAGACGAGATTGAAAACTGTGCTGCCTTAGCTGCCTCCGGCGTGTGTGACACGTCGAGAGCAGCAATGAAGAAACATTGTGCACGAACATGTGAGCTGTGTGACGGTAAGAATCAATGTGAATTTTGAAAGGTCACTATACTACACGAAACCACGCCAAACCTCGCAATATCGCAATACGCCACCCCACCCCACCACTTCACGATTCTACCCTGTTCTACCTCGCTACACCACTCAAGACCACACCACACCACACTAGACTGCTCTACTTCACCCTTTATATAGCACGAAGCCGCACCACACGACACCAAACAACACTACACTACAATATAATATACCACAAACTGCACTACACACAACGCGACATTACACCACCATACGCCAACCTACACCAGGCCTTAACTCTCGGGACGTGTTTTGCGACGTGTCGCCTGTTTGACAGAGCCGTCACGTAAAAGAGCATGTTTCGCTAACATGTCAGTTCTGCAAGATTTATCCTCCTTACAAAATGAATGTATTCAATTTAAGATGAAGGCGCAGACCTTCCACCGGCTTCACCAGCACATGGGCAATCTGCAAATAGCGACACGTGGACCATCATCGGTGCTAATGGTGAGAGGTTCACGACTTCAATCAAAGACATCGAAAGTGGTACACGGAAAGCCTCGATCACTTCAGCGCAAGTCGAACGCCTCTTGGATTATGTCAAGCACAATGCGCCGCATTTGAAACTCGAGAAAGTCAAACCAGGCGTACTGAAACTGATAAAAATACCGGATAAGAAGCAACCAACTCCTCATAAAATCACACTAAAACCGCAAAAGGATAAACCCAAGAAGGTCGAGAAACAGAAAGATAAACCAGAAAAGACCAAACCCAAGGAAGAAATTCATCCTGACAACTACTGGAGATTGAAAGAAGACAAAAACGAGAAGATTGACTTTATGCCTAAACATCCAAAAGCTAAAGGGCCAATGATACATTTCGATCTCTCTACCATTGCAAAAGACAAGCCAGGTTCGATGGCGAAGGCTGTTCATGTATACAAGGACGGACCATCGGATTCGTTCGCTGTGCATCATGCAACAAAATCTAAATCAGGTTAACTATATTTTTCTTTTTTCAAAATTTTTCCGAGAAAAATTTTCCGACTAATTAAGTGCTTTGCATGTATATGATGAACCTTAGCAGCTGTTGCTGGCGTACCTGTTAGAACAAACCACGCAAATACATAAAATGAACTGCAGTTATTGAACTTTTCTCAATAATAAAATGAATTTAATTAATTAGATATATTAATATGTTATATGTTTACAACAGAACTCCGTAATGATGCGGTGACAAAAATTAGATCGTGTCTGTTATCCATCTCGTTAATTAGATAATGTACTTTAATGAACTTTTCACATTCTTCATTTATTAGAAGAGTACTTGAAACACATTTGTCATCCCATGTGTAAAGGACTTGCATTTCGTCTTGTGCACCTGGATGTTGTGCTGGTGAACACCATAAGTCGTTTCCACTGTACCACAGAAAATCAGTCACTGCCATCCGTACTGCAAGAAGCACTGCATCTCTCCTGTCCACTCACCTGCTGCGCAGAAACGGAAACCGTCTCCAAGACGTGGAAGCACCCACGTGTATCACAATCAAACCCGGATGTCATCCGTTGTGCAAGAAGAACTGCGTTCCTTCCTGTCCCAAGGCATGCTGTGCACCCAAACTCAAGTGCGCAAATCTCACTGCCATCCACTATGCAAGACGAATTGTCTTTCTTCTTGCCCTCTAAGTTGCTGCAGCCGTAAGGACCGATTGAAGGAGAAATGCCATCCATTATGTCGCAAAACATGTCTGCCGGCGTGTCCGGGTGAATGTTGTGCGAAGGATGCAAAGGGACACAGAATGATCATGAAAAGTAGTGACCAAAAAACGAAAGCTGTTGCAAAGGTCGCGACAAGGAAAACTTGCCCTGGATTGTGTCCAGATGTAAGTATTTAGCTTAAATCTATTCTTTGATTTTGTGCATTAGAGTAGAGTAAAGCAACTGTACTTGGAATGTCGGTGCTAAATATTTTTTCATTTGGTAAATGTTGTTATTAAATCTTTTATAAATTTATTCCATAATTGAAAGGTTTATATGTACTCGTTCTTTAATCATTGCAAAGGTTTTGTGTTTTACGCATATCAAGGCAATAATAGTAATATAATAATTACTTATTGCATTTAGCGTTATAGGAGGTGCTTGAACTTATGTTTTAATTTTAGTCTTGTGCTCCGGCCTGCCATGACGGTTGTTGTAGCTCAAAGAAAATGACCTTGTCTCGCAGTAAACCGCTGGTACACTCGGTCCCCTCAGGTTGTACAGCGAACTGCGTTTACGAATGTATCCCTGGATGTCCCCCAGCATGCTGCACGAAGTCCCTTGGTGCACCTGAGGTTTCAAGATATACATATACACAACCCGAGCCAGAAACTCCCGATCCTGCTCCGGTTATGATTTCATTTCCGCAGCCATTTATTTCGCCGTATATCGAACAGCCTCAGATGAATCCGCAAGAACAAGCTCAAGCTATGTACAGTGCGGAGGAACAACTAACAGCCAAGAATACAAATTCCGCAAGTGCGGACAGCCAATCAGTGAACGCCAACGCCGTCAATCAAAACCAAGGAGATTCAACAGCTCTTTTCGCGCCAAAACATTGCCCATCATCTTGTCTGACACACTGCAGCCCTGAGTGCGTACGGTCTGATTGCTGTGATTTGGATTAGTTGGCTGCATGTCATGCGACGCCGAGAGACAATAAGTAACATAATTTGAGGAGTGTGACTCAGATATTAAACTATGTTAAAAATTGTAGATAAATCAAACGTGTTTAGGTTTCAATCTGTACCCTAACAATTATAGCACAGTATTGATTGAAGTTGAATTATTGCTGCAATTCCAATAACAACGTTCGGGGCATGCTCAGTTGAAGCTCGATTAAGACTATAAAACTCTCTTTACCATAAAAAGGAACTTACTTTTGGGAAGATTCAACCTCGCTACTGAATAGATTGTTGTTTAATTTGTGGGTTGCGTCGAATCATGTAGGATTATCGCCTATTGCAAGTTTGAAAGTTATACTTAAATAACTTTTTATCCGAAATTCTAACTCCGTTCACTATTAATATTGATCGGTTTTCTAAGAAAAAATAATCATATGAATACTTATGACAAGGCTCATGCATATAACACACCAAGCTGTGTAAACGATATAATATAATATAAAACATACTCCGAAAATATAAAACATCCTGTAAACTTAAGATGTAAACTGTAGTTCTTAAAAAGACATGACACAAAATTCAGGTGATATGTCAACTCCTTTTCAAAGGTTCTCCGGTAAATTGAAGGTTTATGTGTAGAGAACCCGTCCGCGTTTTAGCGCGATTCTTTCGTACCAACTGATACAGCTGTTATCAGTCTTCCAATGCCAATGATAACACGTTTTGAAAAAGAAATCCTATATGAACGGAAAGAATGGAAGGTTTGATTCGTATCCCTATCGCTTCAAAAGAGACGGATTGTTTCTAAGCGAGTTTTACGATAAAGTAGAACAAATATATATAAAAACTTTTGAAGCTTTTTCTTTGTTCAGCCGAATGCTCATAAAAACGCCATGCGTTTGCATATATGCACGATTCAAAGAAGAAGAATGCGTTTGGGTGCATAAAACTCTCCTTGCAATATTTGCTCCTCCGTGGCCGTCACATGTAGGGTAAAGTGGCAGAATGCGTGTATTGTTGTTCTAGTTCGCTTGCCTTCCGAAATTTTGGGTGGCAAATTGAAAAACGTTAGTTAATTAAAGCAAACAAACATATAATGCAAGCGAGATTGTAGTATACGGCTTACATTTACGTCCTATTTCAAAAAACTCCTTATTTCCAAGGATTTGTATACAACTCAGTTGAAGAGAAGACTATTGCCACCAAAAATGGCTGACTACTTCTACTTTGGATTACCTCTTTGGCTTCCTGTCGAAACTCATGACTGATCCTAATACACTGGTGGAAACTTTTTTTTTCAGCCGGTTTTTTGGTTGTTTGAGAAGTGTAATAACTTTAAATGATGATTTTCCTGCAATTTCCTGAACTACATAAAATGTCTCAAACAAATTTTCTCCGTAATATGTCTTCAAGAAAGACAATTCTGCATTGAGTATATTTACTTAAAATATTATCATAACATTTCATCCAAAGAAAACATTTGCGTTTAAAATGAAGAAAAGTAATATATGTAAATCATTATTCATTTATAAGGAAAATATTGATAAACTCCCGAGCACCGGTTTGTATTGGCTGGTAACATTTTGACCGTTTCAATATGTTCTTTGTTCCGTTATAAGTACTTGCTAACGGGGCTTTCTATAATATTGATCAGCAAATATTTTTGATATTCTTCACGAAAACACAGAAAGCTGCAAGGTTGGTGTCCGAATCCGTTGTTTATATCTATATACTTCAGGGTTTATTTCTCGAGAGTGATTTTGAAATATGAGATTATTAATAAATAATCACTTCAATGTATTTGACACATTACACATGGTGGTTTGTATAGACGTCGATTGTTTAACATGTATTGCAGACCTGTGGCTGTTTTCGGTTGAAGTTTAGAAACCTTATATAAGTCATTACTGCAACGACAAAACAGGCACCCCAAAAGCCTGCTATATCAAACAAGCTTTTTGAGTTGTAAAAGATATTTCTATGGCAGTTACCACCAGAGAGCACAATAAATATAGTAGACAATAATTTATAACCATTGCGTTATCCTAGTTTAGGCCGTCCGACGGGCGACGATGTTGATATTGAGTGTGAAAATGTTTAGTGCATGTACTGGCGATTATGAAGATATAGTTTCTTTAGGGACATGAAATTTCGCATTTACAAATAGATCTTTTTTACAAGGTTAATTTACCAATTTTAGTCGCAATGAATGATGAAACACGCATACACATTGTGAAATAACTCTTGAAATACTGCCTATAACCATAGGCTAGTTTCATACGTCGTTGTTCAAATGTGCCAGGCGCATTGAAAACGCAGGGTAATCAGTCGGAAATACCTCCTATTGCTGTTGCTTTCATCACACAAGAAAACAAGACGTTTGAAACAGGTCTCGTAATACATGTACGAAAGTATTACAGGCCTCCGCTGATTAGTAGCATCAAAACTCGTAAAATATTAGACATACATGTCTGGTCTATATGTCTGGTGTACTAAAGAGGAGAGCCAAGCACAACTAACACTTATTACATACAAGAGCCATGCAGAAGAATGGGAGATGATAACCATTCACTGTACATTGCTTCATACTTATACGCATTACCCCCGTATACACCTCAAGATTTGTTGCGCTAAATAATATTTCTTTTTAAAAACCGTGTTAAAATGGTGGATATACGGCACCCTTAGTGAAAAATCTCGTGCATGTCTTTCAATTTTACAATCACATACATGAAGGCCATAATTATAAAATTTCAGTGCAAAAGTTTTCCATTCAATGCTTTCGCTGCTAAACAGTTTCATTTAGAATTTGAAATTAACGTCCAAGCGCCACCTTAAGATAAGGTCGACAGGCCCCGCAAATTTGAAAGTGCCTAACGTTTCTAGATTTTCTCACACAGCGAACCAATGTGTGAGACACGCAGACAATTCTTCCTATTTACAAAAATAACAGTAATCGCCTTTTAGTCGATAAAATAACATGTGAGTTTCTGGCATAGAGGCTGGGGCCTCTCAATTTAGGGGATGAAGCAATTACCTGTTTACAAAAGTTGGCAGATATGGGTTGTTGATACTGTCAATTCTTTCAGTTTAAAATATTTTTTATACAAACGAAAATGTACATTATAATTTTATGTTGTTTTTTTTGCTCAGCAAAACAATGAACAAATTGGTTGTAATATTCTTCCTGGGGGTTATCACGATCGTATTCGCTGAATCGTCGTTAAAAAGAGATAAGGACACCTTAATTAAAGGTGACTATAACGAATCTTGTTAGAAGACTCAAGATCATAATTGTGTAATATTTTTTTGTCGGAAGGAAAAATTAATACACTTTTGTCTTCTTTCCGAAGCTTTAAAGGAAAAATTCAACCAGTATAAGAAGGAAAAGTTATCTGGTAAGCATGACTTCTTATTCTTTGCTGGTAATTCCAATCCGAGATGAGGAATCGATATTTAAAACACTTTGTTTAGAGAGCAAGAAAACAGATGATCTTCCTCCTCCAGCTCCTGCAACCTCGGAACAAAAACAGCACGATAAAGCTGCTGGTGCAATTGGGTTAGCCTTATTAGACGTATCCGCCAAGCCAAAAGCAAAAGAAGAAAAGAAAACAGGTGACTTGAGCTGTGGATATAAATCATGCATTCATTATAAGTTTGGATAAGTGTAAAGTATAATTTTACATTTTATAATTATAGTGAGGTATAGCAATATAGAAAACTAAAAGTATAGATATACATGTAAGCCATGAAATTATGAAAAACCGTATTTCATATATTTCATTTTTAACTGCCGAATAATAATGGTAAACTTTTGTCTGAAAACTGAACATTAAAACAAATAAGCATGGTGAAAATTCGTCACAAGAATATAAAAATATATTTCTTAAACCATGAAGCACAGCCAACTTTTTATAACATTAGATAAAACCACAGAAAATAACGAAGATGATGATGAGATGCCGGAAGATAATAATGTAGACAGTATTAACGTTGAATTGTCGAATAAAAAACAAGATAAAAGTGAGCTGAAGCCAAAGCAAGATGATAAAGGGAAGCTCGTGGCGGGAGACTCAAAGGAAACAGAAAACAAGAAGAAGGAACAGGAAGATATCAAAGATGAAGATGAAGGAAACAAGGATGAAAGTAATGATAGAAAAGAAAGCGAGAAAGAAGATGAAGCTGAGGATGAAGATGAAGGTAAAGACGGTGACGATGGGGCAGACGTTGATACTGATAAGGAAAGTGAAACCAGCAAAGATTCAGGTACGGTAATGCGATAGCCTAATTAGCCTTTAATGTGGATCATCAAAATTTCGTCTTTCACCAGGAGAACAAAACCCAATATATTAAGGCAAGATCAGGAGAATAAAACTTACAATATCAATAGAAACTACTTTAAAGGCGTGCAGTAGTCATAATTGTTTTCTTAAACTGCAGACAACATTGAAATTTATCCTTGCTTTACTATTAAGCAAATTATATAATTCAAAAAATAGTTGGATGAATGTGCAGTTCAGTGGCGTAACTAGGACGTCACAGAAAATGTATTTTGTCTTAAGGTAAAGACACCAGGAAAAAAGTAAAGAATACAGCTGAAGAAATAAAAGAAACTGCAAAACAACTCAAAGATAAAGGTATCAGTTTCAATTATATGTGTTATCAATGCTATCGCCAGTATGAATAATATGCTTTCCTCAAAAATGAACGGTTGAGCGAATGTGAGGGATATCATCCCTGGATGATGATAGGGATAATAGCTAATGATTAATAGTTTGGAAACTTAAAAACAGTTTGAAAAACATTTCAGATCTTAAAGCAGTCAATGTTGGACAGTTGAAGAAATTGTTACAAACAAGTGTAGGTAAGAATACATGTGATAGCAATATCTTTTAACCGAAACTACATGGCATGGTGGAAAACACAAATCGACCCGAAAGGGTTAACCTAGAACGCTCGCATGATAGTCGCATATGATGAATATTTTTACATTAACTTTGCTAATCTGATAGAATCATCAGTCATCAAACATCTACTTTTGTCGAAATCCATATTTAGACACCGGAAATTTATTAGAAAAAAACCTACGAGCTTACATATATCAAATATTAAGTCACAAATCAGCATGTGATAATCGCTATCATGCACTTTTCAGAAAATCTAGACAAAGCTGGCAGAGCCATCCAAAATCTACTTCAATATGATCAGCGAAAAAGTGAGTACTTGCTACTTACTGATATTATCCTACACAGTTTAAAATGTGCTGCTCCCTATAGAGATGACGAAGTAGAAATATATTATCTTAAAGGTTATCACTACAATCTGCATAAGTATACTTTGTTAAGTATAGAAGAATGAGAAAGAGATTCAGGAGAAACAGAATATTGCTTTGCAGGAAACGCATGCAGTATTGTTTTTTGGCAAGAAAGCATGCATCACGAGATAACTATACGCCATGGCGTGCTTGCTTACTGGCTGTTCAGTACAACTTTTGCTAAGCTAGGTTATCAGAGCAACACAAACAGTTAAAAGCTTGTTCAATGTCATTCAATCAGTATCGCTGTTACCAATTTTATTGCCTACACTACCATAATTAACAGATCAAGATTTTTCATAATCTAGGTATTTAAGAAAAAATCCACATGTATCGTATAATTTTTCGTTACTACGCATGGTAAAACTGCAGCATTTGGAAATTTTTATTTGCCGATTTTCGTTACTCTGGATCGAGTTTACCAGGTTTTGAACATCCAGTTCCAAGCGATTTTCTCAAATTTGGCGTAAACTGCAGTATAACTTAATTCCATTATATAAATTTCAGGGTTGCACAGCAGGAACAGGCAAGGAACACCACAACCATACCGAGGTGAGAATATGCCCATTATGTTTAATTCAGAAGGCATGGCTATAAATAATTTTCATTATATTTCTGACTTGGAAAAAAATGTGTTTGAATACGGTAGGATATTAAATTAACTTATTGAAGAAAATGTTTTGCTTGCTATCAGTGTTGCGAAACATATAATTACTTAATAATTCACTTTTTGCATTTGTACCACACAATCCTGGCGAAAGGAGATGTAAGCGAGCATTTTATATATTCTGGAATTTTTTTTTAAAACCTTCAGCTGATCTCATAAAACGTAAGCTGACCGCATGCACCGCAAAAGTGAAAATCAGGGATCAAACTAACATTAGACCAAATTTTTCTAAGTTAGATCTCTTCATCAAGTTTTATCTCATTCATGATCAAAAACACTGTCACATTCGTTAACTTCATATTTCAGGCTACCCCCAGCAGGGCTATGGAGGATACCCCCAACAACAACCATCCCCATATCAAGCAACCGGTCAATGTTCCGGTCAATGTAGCAACCTTTGTGCTCCGGCATGCAGAGACCCATGCTGTCGTTTCCCTCCAAGTTTGGGCGGATATAATTCACCTCCCGTCCAAGCTCGTGGTTCCTACCAACAAGGCTTGGTTAACGCTTACCCGCCAAATACTCAACTTGGTGGCGGTCAAGCGAACTATCAACCTCAAATGCAAGTTGGTGGCCAGCAGTGTGGTGCGCAATGCTCGGCCCAGTCTTGCGCGCCGTCGTGCAGTCCGTCATGCTGTGCGCAAAGAGGTCAAATCGTACCTCCTGGTCAAGCTAATGCTGGATGTCCCATGTCTTGTTTGAGTAATTGTTCGGCAGCTTGTCACGCTCGTTGTTGTGTGCCTGGGAAGAAAAAATGAATGAAAAAAGATTAACAGAAATATTCAAAACCATACATGAATCTTCTACCGAAAGAAATACCTTGCGGGTTACCTACTCTCACAAGGAAATTTGTGGTTTATGTTAGCCTCATAGGTATAAAATTGTAGAGTAGGACTAGAAGGCAATCATATATATGTTGTAAAAATGTGTGGAAAGTCAACCCAAAATGAGTAATTAAGCCACTTACAAGGTAACATTATGTAGTATCTACTTTTTGTGAGCTTCGAGTTATCCAAAAACGATTGTATAAAAAGCTGTTTGTGTTGATTTTTTATGCGCTGGCACTAGCTTTATCAAAAGTTTTGACTGGTGGGTCTTTACATCCGTCAGTCAAAAAGCCTGTTTTGCACAGCGTTTGCAAGTAAATCTCTTTGTTGAAATTTGTTAAATCTTTGGGAGATTTCTTATTGTGCCTATTGCCTATTTGATAATAGTCATGACTTCGGTATCGCGCACAGTCATACTCGGTACTAACTTCGCACACTCATATTAACGCGCACAGTCATACCAAATCATAGCATTTTGTTTTTAAGTAATTATTCGGCACATTAAGTTCAGGCACCTACGAGTTAAGCAGACAGGGCTATTTTTGCAGGCTGAAAAGTTCGTCACCTTGTAGAAATAAAATTTTCGCGCGCTTAAGCGCAGCTATGTAAGTCATCGCCATAGAAATCAAGACAGCCTTCTGAAACTGTGGATAATTTACTGAAATGCACCATTATCTGATGTCATCAGATGATGGTGCATGTCATCAGATAATGGACTGATGTCTTCTTTTTAATAAAGCGTTCGGCGCTAGTGAAATGCAAGGGGTGCATGCTGTGCCAGAGCCTGAACGACGATCGTTAAGATTATTCTTCGGGTCTTGATTAAATAGGATCAAAAGTCATCATGTTCCTTTCAGAGCGCGTAGATAAATAATTATTTGCCTCAAAAATATTTGCAGAAAAATAAATGAATGTAATAATGATGGTATATAATGGGCTAGGAACTTAGGAAATCCTATATTGGACTTTCAACCTAAGACTTCTAACCTTTATTTTGTAGTTTTACACTGCGTGTGTGATTAGAGATTGCAGTTCAATAATCCAACTGTTGTGAAATACGTTCTCTGCGGGCCTGGTGTCTAAACCAGGCGGCTGGTATAATCTACATGCAATAACAACTTTAACACTACAACTCACAGTACAAGTGATTTAGCTACTGGCAAAAAAGATAATTTTATATTGCTGAAGAGGGATCGCCCTTCTCTCACATCATAAGGCGACTGCAACGACAGTAAACTTTATTATTTAAACGCTGATTAACCCTCGGTTCCCCTTCGTGTCCCGAGTTAACACAAAGAAGCACGTAGCGCACACGATACTATATATTTGAATTTTGAATCTAGAAAAGAACTGAACTAGAAGATAGTGTATATATCCTTATGTACAAAAGTAATCACCAGTGTTATTTTGAAAAATAAGCAAGTGAACGAATTGCGTCAGAAGCGAGCTCATCCGAAACTCTTTCCTTCAAGAGAGGATGACGTGACTTTTGTTTTTAAACAACAACCTGCATTATCGACACGGAAGGACGAACACGATTCGATCGAGTATTAGCTTCTTTTCGACGGAACGCGGCACTCTCACAGGTAAGCGAAATGATATATTTTATTAGCGTTAAACGATTGGTAAGGTGATATTGGTAAGTTTATTCGTAATCGCTTCGCTTGCTTGATAATAATCTAGTTGTACTAATATTCAAGGTGTGATAGTCCTAAGATTACTTGTGGGACACGGGATTGAAAACACAGTATATACAAAGAGTGATACAGATTGTAATTTACAGAAAAAAGATAATTGGATGTGAAGCATACAATGTTATATTTCATTATCGATAATATATGGTTACCGTATATGTTAACATAGTGAACATAAAATATTACGGAATTCAGCGCTCTAGGTAGTACCTGCTTGTTTAGAAGTAAGATCGACAGGCCATTCCCATGCACAAATGCAGAAATTTAGTAAGTCAGGAATCTGCGCACTTTGTTGGAATAATTGCCATAAATGCTGGTTATAATCAATATCTCTGGTAAAAATTATAGAAAAAAACTTCGAAACAAAGTTTGAATCAGCATCAATGCACCCAAAACATTTTGTTCGCTTACGCGATGTGTTTTAGAAGGAAATGTCACAGTTCAAAATGAACAATGATAATTTATTGTAAAAAATGCTTCTTCTTAACCATCGAAATTATGTTCACGAATCCTGCAGACCTTGCTCGCACAATGTAATAAAAGAACAAGCATAGCACGCATCCTTTTTCTTTTCTTCTACAAATGATTTGTGTAAGCCAGGTTTACATACGGTTCTGTCTATGTGTAAGCCAGGTTTTGTCTTTGTGTAAGCCAGGTTTTACATACGGTTCTGTCTATCTTTGTTTTAAGTTCAAGGTTCAAGTTCATCTGTTAATAATTATTATAGTGCATTTGGACACCGAGTGTTTCTTTACTCAGAGCAGCAGCATCACAATTAACATTAGTGTGAATCAATTTTCATTGCTTTTCAGGATGAAGACAACGCCGGCAATAATTCTTCTTCCTCTCCTGTTTGCATTTGCTCTCAGTGAGACAGGTATACTTATTCCCCTTATTTCAATTGATAATATACCAAGCATGAATAAATTTGTCACGTGCGTGAATTTGCTTTCTAAATTCTAATACAGATTCCTTTCTTGCCTAGAGTTGACCAATACGCAAAAAACAATAGTGAATTTTATAAACTCAAGGGATAGTAGTGCTGTAGCAGTAAAAAGAAGATGGAAAGGAAAAATGTATTCAAGTGAGTTCAAGAAATATGAAACTAGAAATGAATCAACTGAAATCCTTTTGAACGTATATTTATTTGCGTGAACAATATTTTCATCGGAAGACCACACACAAATCTCACAAATCACACAAATCAGGATCACATCCTAGCGAACATCACAATTGCGTAGTGTTTTTCTTAATAAATAAAGCACACCATCACTTAAACGCATTTTATATAATTAGATCAGAATAGGTCAGAAAATGCACAGAATAAGTTCCAGAAATCCATAACTTTTAAAATTTTCCACCGTATCGAGTACAAACAAACCTATTCACAGCGCAGATTTTACCGCACGAAGTAAGTAGGGTTTCTGATATCGGCTGATTCTCACCTGTTTGTCTTGGTTTCATGATGTAATATAGAACTTCGCAAAGACGAAAGTCCTCCACCCACAAACAACCAATTAGCTCCCAACCAAAATGATGGAACAACACCCGCACCTGGAGGTGCCACACAAGCCGCTGGAGGAGGCCCCACAGGGGGAGCAACTGGTCCTACGGGACAACCATTCCAGTCACAACCGTATGGCCAAGCATCTCCCTATGGTATGCAACAAGGATTTGGACAACAGCCAGGCTTTGGTCAGTATGTCAGCCCCAGGTTTTGGCCAGCAGCCAGGTTTTGGTCAACATCCAGGTTTGGTCAGCAGCCAGGTTTTGTCAACATCCAGGTTTGGTCAGCAGCCAGGTTTTGGTCAGTCCAGTTTTGGTCAGCAGCCAGGTTTTGGTCAACGACCAGGTTTCGGTCACCAACCAGGCTTCGGCCAAATGCCTGGTGGACACAAAGGAAAAGGTCCAGCCGCAGGCGGCCCACCTCCCGCACAGGGCGGTGCTGGTGGGGGTTGTGGTACAGCCACTGTATGCGGATCGTTCAGTATAAGCAAAGAAGATCCCGCCAGTGTTATCGCTCCACCACCAAGAATGGTCATGAACCCAATGCAGCAGCAACCATGCATGCCACAATGCAAGCCGGTTGTGGGGGAATGCAGCAGCCAATGATGCAACCAATGATGCCGATGCAGCAACCAATGTGTCCACGATTTTGCAACAAGAGATGTATGGTTAGCTGCCCGCGTGCGTGTTGCACCAAATCCGCTGTGAAGCCAGAATCAGGTGACGACTCGCATAACAAGCATGTGAAATGCCCAGGAGTGTGCGCTGTGTACTGCGCGCCCGAATGTCCGCACAATTGCTGCGGGCCAGGGGTGCACGTCGATCTGCCATACCGCAGGCATTCCATGCTAGTGAACTCTCGCCCCCGCGTTATATAAGCTCGAGCAAGAAGCCGGAGATTTGAAACGGCACTAAGACAATCGAGTTAGTGGATAAGTCAACATCGGACTTTTTTATGTGTAAATTAGCGGATAATAAAGTAGGGGAGACAGGTCTGATGTCATTAGAGGGCGTTTATTAAATATACCTGGTGTTGTCACCGAGGCAAATGAGTTTTTGGCTCGCTAAGTTAAATTTCGAGTGCAATCCATTAAATTGGTTTCCAGTAGAGTCTATACAAATTGTCAGAGCATTGTCAATCATCAAACCAATGATTTTTATATTAGCCAGTATTCTCGAGCGTTCAGTGATTGTCTTTGGTACCGACCCAGGGTATATATCATGATGAATGTCGTTCTAAATTCTGGCATTTTTTTTCTTACATAGGCTCTCACTAAGTTATGAAAATGCCAGAATACCGTGCGACAACGATGACGCCAGAATGGACGGACATACTAGGAGTGCGATGCAAGTGTAACGAAATTACTACTCATGAAAGCGTTCCTAGAATTCTCGTCCTATAATATTCTATTCTTAGAATATTAATCTTAAAGAAATTCAAAGCAGTACATATTAATTTTTATAAATATAAGTTTAAAATGGAGAAAAAGCTAATCAGATACCTGTATTGGGCTAAAACATGAACGATGCCCAGGTACATGGCAACTGACATTTGATTGGATTATTCGCACTGAGGAAACAATAAGCGTAAAATGTACAATGTGTTCATTGCTTAACTGATTTTGTATCATTTACTAAACTGTAAATAACTTTATTACACGATTCATGTGATTTTGATGTCTGTAAATATACTCTCTGACTAAATTCCTCGCTTGAAAGCTAATAAAGCGGTTGGGGATTAGAGCCAAAGGATCACTTGAACATTCGCCAAGTTAAATAGTATAGAAGTACATTAATTTCAATCAACAATGGCTTTTTAGCTTTAAAACTATTTTCCTACTTTCTACGATTCAAGCTGTGCACACTTGGTTATATACTGAACATTTGCTATCAATTTTGTGACTATATAGATCGGTTTGGATTTTCCGTTAATATACACATGCATTAGTGTTGGGTTAATAAAGCCGCGGATAATATGCTTAATATACCAAAAGAATATGGCTGGAAATGTGACGGAAAAGGAGAAAAAAGGAGTCTGAGTGCGTTTTGTATGCCTTTGTGTATATTACTTGACCATTTTATGGCTGTTTTGTGCCTTTTCATTCCTTTAATGTATTTTTTCTTTCAACTTTTCCCGCCTTTTCCCGCCTTTTATAGCTTTATAGTACGAATGATCTCGTGATTTAGTACTTCCGACAGTTTCAATTCACAGAAGTATTGTTCCATTATTGTATTACTGGCAACATGTTCTCAGTTGACAATTTTGTGATAGTATAAAAAAACTATTCTAGCTTCTTAGCACTTAAGCCATGAAGGCATGGAAATTCGGGAAACGTTCAGGAATTATATATCATATATATAAGAAGAACATCAATATTTGTCTTTGAGCAAGATCGTTCCCGGCTTTGTTTACATACCACTCGTGGATGAAAAAACGCATAGCTAGTAGCTCTTATCTTTCAGCAACCTAGCAACCATATAGTTTATCCCCGACTTAACAACTGTCAACTGCGTAAGTATATAGAAATAGTGCACTGAAAAGCACACTTTACTGTACCTATATATATATAACGCCAGTCAAGCTGCCATGGAAAGCGCCAGTTATACATGAAAAAAAAACTCGCCATGTTCAAGGATGTATTCTCAGATTAACTATATTTGATGTGCAGAACAACAGTAGTGCATGCTATAAATAGTAAATCGCATTTTAACTGGTATAACATGTCTTGAGAGCAATCAAAACACACGCGCAGCTTTGACTGTTTTTTTACATTCTGTTATCTCAACCTAACGCCGATATACATATAACTAGCTACTTTAGAGTTTCGGTCCTCTCACAACGCCGAACTTACAAAAATTTGCTATACACATGCTTGTCAAGAAATTGGTTTAACTTGACATTAAACAGCATTATGTCCGCATTCCTATACACGAGCGCGCAAATCAGAACTCAGCAGTAATGAATGAGATACGCACATCTAAGCTAATAAAAAGTGGATCGATTCAATCGATCTGGCGCAAATCCAGAACGCTGCCAGACCGATCATTGACCTTGCAGTTGGGTTCACTTTTATGTTTGTATAAAAACGCATGTTTTGCCGCGGTGGATTCTCCGTAACTAGTTCCGCGCATTCGTGTGTATTTCGGGCCTAAACCTCGCACGAGGTTAAGGTTTAGGAAGTAAGAAGTAATTAAGGACAAAAGACCACTCGACTCATCAACGGACAAGCACTTGAACTTGTTTAGGCAAGACAAATGTTAAGTCAATAAAGCGTATTGGCAGGCTTCCACGTGTGTTCGAGATTTAAAAGTGCGCAATAGATGCGTAGCGTTGTTGTGAATGGTCACTGAAAGTACTCAAAATAATACGAAAGTCAGAGCAGTTTAAAGCAAAGACAATTAATTAAATCAAGGTAAGTCAAGGTATTCTCTATATTGCAAACTGACCATGGAACCTTTTGAGAAAATATGCAGATAACTTATTGATTAAAGCTTACACTGGGAGCATAAATTTGTTACTGCACTTTTGTACCAGTTATGGCATATTAAACTTCATAGAAACTTTGATAACTTTCTTTGCCTTTTTGGAGAACATCTATAATTCGTCAACTAGCGAGAGCATTCTAGGAAACGATTATAGCCAGCTTAATTAATAACTGTACAGAAGTAAGAACGGTGCATACGTGCTATTTGATATCAAGGCTACAAGAGATAAGTTATTATATTATTAAACGGTTACAGAACACGGATGTATTAAAAGATATAATAACATTTCATTATTCGGATGACAATCAAGACCGCCGAAACTAAAACAAAACATAAGTTTAAAACTCATGTACGCACTTTGTTGAACTGGGTATTTCGTTGTACACAAGCTTTAAAACTCACAAACGTCTTGAACATTTGCTGCATGCGTAAAAACATTTGCCTATAGCCTATAACTATTACCGTAAAAACAGTTGTGTCATCTAGGGGCTAGGCGTACGTAGAATAATCAAATTAAACCTTTTTAGACGTTTTAAGTTAAAGGATATTATAAGAAATAGGTCTGGGAACATTTGCCACAAAGGCGATGGTTTGTTTTTATTAAAACTAAGACGAAGTCCCATAGTCTGGTTAACACATTAACGCGAAGCTATGTAAACATGCAGATCCCCTTGCGGGGTTATTACCCACATAATTATCCATGCCAATTGTAACAATTAGAATCTTATCTGGCTTTGAAAGTGCTTATGACAATATATTTAAAACAACTGTTTACAAAATAAATTTCTGAAGACAACCAAATCTGTTGAAAACGTTCAGATGAAAATAATCATGTTTAATCATATAGAAAATCATATAGGCAATATCTGACTCCTAATATATTTTACATGATTGATAAATTCTGCATCTCTTCTTACTCTTAAATTTTATTCCAGCTTTTTCATGCCACAGTGATTTAGACTTTTTTTACAAATTTCGCCTGTGTTCTAAAAGCTCACTCAAACTCAAGCCTATATTGGGTGGGAAATCTCAATCTTCTCATAACGTTTCCATCGAGGAAATTTCACTCGAATAAGAGCTTGATTCAATCTTTGCATTGATTAAGAAAATATTTTCTCACTTATCAGTACTGAAAACAAAATTCATATGCCGTCACACTCAAAGAGTGTGAGTTTGAGTGCATGGGCTTTAGGCCAATAAAAAACTCCAACTTTAGCTTTTAACTTTTGGGTTGTAACTGTCATTGTTTAAGGTAAGAGACGCGCCATCGTTTAAGGGGTGCAAGCGCAGTAAAAGATCCAATCGTGAGTGTCCACGAGTGACATTTTACCATTCATGCATGTCGCCATTGATGTTTCTGTTATGATGTTATCCAATATACCTCTTGTAGGATAGCGTATCTAAGATTGTCAATGAGCCAGAAAATAGTGGACAGTGTAAACAAAAAGCGCGCAATGCCTTGTGGATTATATTGTCTATTTAAAACTACATAATACCTACCGGCTTGGATTTGCCATTCAATATCTCTAAATCTCGTTATCTCGTTGAACTATTGTGTTTGTGACTGATTGAAAAAAAAAACCTGAACCGCTGATAGCAGTACGGTCTAATCAAACCCGCTTATTAAGCTGTGTAATAATAATATAGGGCTGTTCTATGTTGTTACCCTGATCTATATGTCTTGTGGGTATACGAGAAAAACTTATTTTCAGTTTTAATTCAGCTCATTCAGGCATAGTGTAAAAAATCGATTCACCCTTCGTATCAGAAAATGCAAACATGCATTTATTTATAAAAGGAAATTAGTATAACATTTGGTCGCTAGCTATTGCACCAATTGTTGTCCGTATACGTAATTTTCTCAAGACTGTGGTCTATATTTACTGTAACCAGTCATATTTTGTCCACTCTCGGCTAAAATTTTACGTATACTCAGATAACTGTCGATTTCATCATTCATTTTATCACCAGTTGTGTTTTACTGAAATTCTGAAATATAAGTCACCAACCTCATGCAGGGGTCTCTCTCAGTACTCGCAGTAGGAAGAAAATATTGTTTACAAATAACAAATGGTTTCCTTACTGGTTCCTTCCTATTACATCCAGCGTAGACGATATTAAAAACTTTAGCAAGCGAAAACAGTAAAAGTTGAAAAAGAGAACGTGTTTTTATCAAACTACAATATGGATTCAATCGCTATATTGCGGCATTTCTGTTTCGTCTAATGCTAGAATTTGTTTGTTCTTTAAACCCAAAGGTCTTGACTTTTCGACGTCTTTATATATAAGGAATTATTTGATCGATGGATGCCAAATGCAGGGAAAGATAACATTTCGCCCAGCAGTCTGTTCCTTGGTTTGAATTAATTGAGTGTAAAAACTGCTCGATGACGCAAACTCTGGCTATTGCCTATTTTCTATGACATTCACATGCTGGGCTACGTGCGTCATTTCAACGAAAAAAATGGCAATCAGGAAATCACAGCATGTACCAACCCGAAATAGATGTCGCATTTACATATAATCTCGCAGTCGGAATGATCATTTTGAAATCAATCGCCCAAATTATGTCGCCGGCGATTACTATTGTGAATTGTGCTTGTGGGTAATCTAGAAGAAAGATTATGTCGGTGACGGTATAAACCCGCGTGTAACCTAATATGTTACCTGCGTGCGCTGCGTGGGTAGAATATTGACTGCAAATGACGAGTTTTTGTGAAGTTTTGATTTTCATGTGTAGTCTATCTAATCCCCACGCTTTTTTGAAGAAAACTAGTTACATGTGCTAATTTTGCGCTTTGCGCTTTGCGCTTTGCGTACGGCGTACGTTTTCACAATATTATACCGGCAGGGTCTGTTATCTATATATCGCGCGCCGCGATAACATTTTGTTATTCCAGCATGCTGCAAGCAGTCTTTCATAAATAGCCAATATAAATTATGCGCGATTAAGCCCAGCTTCTCGAATACATGCCATGCTGGGCCGCAATGTGCTTTTTGCTTTAATTAAAAAGTAAAGGAAGATCAAGGATGATCGATTAAATCACATGGTGCAGAGTATTGTTCTCAGGTATTTAAGAGTGTAGCTTTTGGAAAGTACCCAAATAACTAATAGCGCATTCTCCACATGCTTGGCTTTGACCTTGGTGTGCGCGTTTCAATAAGAAGTCAACATTTGTCGATTTTTCTGTTATAGTTATATCATTCTGCCGCTTGTAAGTTTGTACAGTTGTTCTGTCCCCGATTCTCGAAGCAACCCGATGTCACTGCTGACTGCACTGAAAGTCTCATTTGCGTGATTGTCTACACGCGACTTTTCTACGCCGCAATTGGATTAGTTCGAGGATAAAGATAAATCTAAGATCTAATCGCTCTTTGCCGTAGTTAAGCATTTCCCGAAAAAATAGAGCATTGATTAATATCATTAAAGCGCGCATGTGTACGTTCTGCTTTTCAATACCAATACAACCGTCTGAAATTATCCCTTTCTCTTTCTCTTCTGATATCAAGTCATAAGAGTTTAAAGATTTAGCCACAGGTGAAGTCCTAGCATTTATTTTTATCCTATTGGCAAGGAAACAACAGTTTGGGGCCGAATTTGAAACCTTACACAAAGCTTCATGCCGCGGGTTCATTAATCCAACCACAATACTACGCGGTAAATTATAATTAGATGCAATTACTCGCAGCGATGAGCTTTGTGCGGGGACTGGAACTATGAGCCGAAGCTCATGCAAATGAACTCAAACAAAGAACTTAGGCAATTAACAATAATTTCGTCCCGAGTTTTTACGGGTATTATATGGTTGCAGACGCGAAGTCAAGATATGTAAAATGACTTTGGGTGTTCAACTAAACTAGCCTCAAAATAGGTGTACTATTAGAGAAGCGTCTATAATTCCGGACTTTCAGATAAGAAAACAAGTCGTATAGTACGTGTTGCATGGTGACTCAAATCAGTGAAAATCACATAATTTTGCATGAGTCACATCCATTTATTCAGTATTACTAGACAGGAACCATGCATACTCACCTAGCGGATGTAAAGACAAAATTTAGCTAAGTAATAACATACGACTATCTCTATCGTAATAAACGAGTTTACTTAATTCATGAGTTATCTACATGCATGCAGCTTATATGTCGAAGGTTGCGACAAGTATTCTAGTTAAGACGTTTACATTGTTTTGAAAAAAAAAATTGGTGGACAAAATCGTTGCTGTTTTTCAGCAACGCTGAAGCCGTAGGGGCCCAAGATTTAATACCGTAAAATGCCAAAGATATAGAGAGATGGAATGAAAAACGAAATAGTGCTGGCATAATTGCGATGTAAATTCAAATTGCTTCACCAAAATATTTTTGGCGCCAGTTCAATCACAACAGGAATTATACGACACATTTCCTCGGACGTGATGACTTCTGTCGTCACAAATGAGCTCACTCAAAAAAAACAATTTTCGGAAGGCTGCAACAGGTATTCTCGTTAAGAAGTTTACATAGTTTAGCAAAAAATTCCTTTATTATTTTAATATACGCTAATTGAATGTTGACGGTCGAGCTGAGGATGCATGATGTTAGGTTTATTCCAAGCTGGGGGTATATCAATTTAATATAAAACAGCGATTTTAACGAGACCAGGGTAAATAACAAGAGTAATATAGATTGAGGACATCCATGCAATAGCGGTTATGATGATGAAGTCAACAGCCTATAATTTTAAATGGTAAGGCGTCATGAATTTATCGAGTTATTATGCAGACGTTGAAGCAATTTTGAGCCATTTGAAAATATATTTCTGTATTTCCAGTTTGTTAATCAATGAGTGGCTTTTTATGGCACGCTTGTCAATGCCTATTTTATTCGCACCGACTTCCCGCCGCAGGCAGCGAACACATTCATAGCTATAATAATCTCTTTGTATCAAAATACTTCCTTATATATAATTTGGGGTTTTAACCAAGTATACCAACTTAGTTTGTAGGCTTTTATATAGAAATTGTAGTCGAATTGAATTTTTAGCTAAAAAAGAAAACAACTTTTTTATTAACTCGTGCTGCATGTATGCGCTAACTAGCCTAACTCGCACCTCTATTTGGTTTAGCGAAGCGATGAGCACGTTTCAAGCATCCATTCTGTTACGGTTGGTCGTTCTTTGGGCAAATGTGATCTCAGCATCCCAAACCGAAGGTATGTGTACATCATACGTTGCAACATATCCCCATTTCTGAATGAGAAAAGATCCATCGGACTCCTCTCAGCTTGATATTATATATGATCCAGGTGATAAAAAGAAACAGTGCATATAGTGTTATCGTTCAGTTTTTTAGGATTTTCGAACGTTGGTTTGTCATCGTTATTTTGCGGTGAACCTGATACATTGATATAATATATATAATATAGGGCCGTTTACAGTAGCTATACTGGATTGCTTCCGGAGTAATTAGGTCAAATTTTTAAATTAGCGACAGCAAACCGCGTTGTATTGCGAGAACCGAAGCGTCGGAGCCTAGGTAATTTTCGAAATTTGAGAGTAAAATCTCGAGAGTCGTAAATCCCCATTTTCGCACGTGCACGAAATGAATTTTGAGCGGCGTTTAATTGCTAGCGAGCGGCTCACGCGAGGCGCAGAAGAAATTCTCTACTCGCAATTCCAAATTACTAATGTGAAACTTGAAGAACTTTGAGAAACTTAATGGCGAAGCTGATTTAGAGACCTAACTTTTCTACTTGTAAAGAAATTTTGCGGGAATGAAAATCCCTTAAGCCCAGCATATTCAGGACTTCATTGAAAAAGATGCACATTCCAATGCATTCTTAGATAAATAGTTATAACATGTAGCTAACTGCATGCTAATATATCTAAAACACAAGCAAATTTGACCTTTAGTCGGCTTGTAATCAATCAAAAAGTATAGAAAAAGATAAAAAAGCTTACCGCAGTTACACGGTGTGTCGGTTACAATTCCACTTCCGAAAATACTCAAGCACGCTAAATGACAATTTAAACGAACAAACCTCCCCTCAAGTAAAGCACCGGTATTATCATGTCGTTTTCATGCGGCGCATCTTTCCTGCAAGATCTTGTGCCGCTCAGGTACCGGCTTTTCAAAAAGCAGTTTAATGGGTGTTATTTTATGGCTTTTCAAAACCTTGCAATTGCATGTTGCGTATGTCGAATTAGGTTTTTAAAACATTTTTCTACGTGAATGGAAACTTCATTATTCTCAAGAAAAAAATGCTATGCCTAACTACATAAGTAAAAACAGCGTAATCAGATTTGATCTCCAAATGTTCTTGCAAAATAAGCATTAAAGCAACCAGCACGTCCCATATAATGAACGAAAATCGTTAAAGTAAAAACAAATGACAAATGACAGATCTGATGACTGTAGAATTTGACCCCAAAAACATCTTGGCAAACAAATTAAGAATCGCTCCTGCGGAACATGTTGCTTTTCCATTAATACTGTCAACATGTGTTTTTGTATGACAAAAAACCCACATGAAAGTCGATACGCAATTCCGACGGCAATTAACGAGTAGTGCGGAAGCGTGGCGCTGGTGTCTAACATTACGATCTGGTATAATCAGCGAGATATTCGCTTTATTACTTCAATCTGCTTGTGTAGATAGTCAAGCTACATTCTCTCACTCAACACCTTTCAGGAGGTATAACGCATGCGTCCTCGAGTGGGGGAGGGCTGGTTGTCTTACGTCAAGCACGTGCTGATATATCATTTTGCGTGTTATGACTTTAGACGGGGTGAAAAAGTAATTTGGAATTTTCTGCGTAGTGCGCGGGTTACGATAATGCGTTACAAAGGATCCAAAATTGCAGCCAATTGCAAGTGAATAGCTGATCTATTCATTTTTAGCCATAATAATTAGTGAAAAATAAATGTTATTGAAAGTTTGCTAAATGCTATCGCAACGAGCAGCAGACAAATTTGTTCCAGCTGGAGAACATCTGAACATGTTGATCTCTCACAGCCACAATTCAATGTTTGTTGACTTAAAAAAATACAATGCAACACGCATTGTCTGCAAACGATGAAATATAGACCTTTTGCATCATTGACTACTTTTCTGTCTATGCAAGAGAGCGTAGTGAAATTAGTAGAAATGCAAAGTCTGATTGCGAGTTGTAAAATTCGGAAAATATAGCCTTCCAACGTTTACAAATTTGTATACATTTTTACTACAAACGGAAATTGTTACCATTTTTGCCTGAATATGACCAAATCTTTGGCAACCAAATGCAACCAAACTTTGCACTTCTACTAATTTTAGTACGCTCTTTTCATCTGTGGTCATTTGATTGCATTCATTTCACTGGGCGAAAAGCCGCATATTCCGCCCTCTATACCACGCAATATGATCGGGAATATTATTGATATTCCTAGATATTCTGGGGTATTCCTTCGGAATATTTCCGGAATACTGGTAGTATTGCGCGCAGAATACGTCGGAATAAAATACACCTGATATTCCGTGGCAGAATATCGTCGGGATAGCAGTTGTTGAGTTATGCGTATATTTTGCTAAATACAGCCTTGCACGTCATGTTAGTTACAATGTGATTCACTTGAATTAGTACAAAATTTTTGTACATTCATTTTATTAGACTTTCATTTCATTATATAAATGACCAATAGCCCTGATAATCGTATAGAGCAAGATTATCTTTGGGTGCATAAAGTGTACAAGATTTCTCTGATATTCAGATAAATATTGTCATGCATTTTCATTGACAAATGGATACAGGCGCTCTTGCAAAAAATGTTACCAAGTACCAAACTCGAAATGTTACAAAGGGTAAGTAAAGTAGCATATAACATGAAGAATTGTAAATGTTGAATGGAAGTTCTGCCGCCGAGCCTTCTGCAACCTCCGATGTATTGTGCGTTCTACGCAAAGAGGCATATAAGACCTAGTAGTAAATTTAGCGATTAAAGCTCGCCGAGTCCGGCCGATTTCAAATATCATTGATTAGTAAAAGTCTGTCCCTAATTACGAAATTATGTTTGGAAGTAATATTTCTCTTCGCGAATTCAAATTTTCATAACGAAATTTCCGAAGGGGGTAATAATGGGTGAAATAGGTATCCTACTTTGAAAGGTCTTTATCTCCATTTTGATCGTTACTGTATTGTCCATCATCCGCAGTTTATGAATCAACTATATATATAAGCTGGTGGGAAACGATTCATGATCATGCACACAGGCGGGCAGAAAAATTATTCCGAATCAACCAAGTTTAAAGAAATTGATTATACGAATTTAAAGTCCAAGCAGTATAAAAATGCTTGGCAGACTGATAGATATTCCCTACCCAGATGAAACATAATGAGTATAGAAAGATATAAATATAATAAATATAATAATGAGGAAATATATGCTCAAACACATAATTTTATTTCTGCTACCTTCATTTATAGATTAATGGTGAAAAGATACATGTGTGCTACATTTCGTTGGGGGCTTTTTTTTACCACCCTCTGTATATTATACACTTAATGTATGCTCCCGAGGGAATAGTGAGTTTTGTTTTCCCAAGAGTCTGAATGTTTAAAGAATTAAGACTCGAGGGAAAACAAAACTCATACTATTTCCCGAGGTGTAGCGTACATTAAGTGTTTTGCCATAGGAAAAACATTCATGTTACACGACAATTCATTTCACAAAACTTTGTTATGACAATATACGGGCATCAATTTTTCACTTGTTTCCCTGCATCACGGGAAACATTGCATTTATATAAAGTCATGTGATTGCGAATGAACCAATCACATTTATAATATACAGCACCTATACACAATATACACTTAATGTATGCTCCAGAGGGAAATAGTGAGTTTTGCATAACGACAATTTCTTTTCAAAAAACGTTGCTATGACAATATGCACGCAAAAATTTTTCACTTGTTTCCCAGACGGGAAACATTGCATTTTTTGAAAGTCATGTGACTACGAATGAATCAATCACATTTAAAGTAAACAGCACCTACCACATTTAAAGCACGGTTTAGACTTGCAATCCACTACCATACCACAAAAAATAAAGGAAACCATGCAATCAAATACGATAGTTCTATCACACTAACTATGCAATCACGAAATCAATCGATTACTGATACTTATACTGTAGTTGTAGTGGAAATCAAATCTTAAGCTATAATGATGAACATGCACTTAACTCAAAAATTACTTACTAGTAAACCAAAAATAGTATACAAAAAATCCCGAAATATTATTCTGTTGCAACCTCAATTCATGCATGTAAACACATCATTTTCTAAAGTAATTTTTTGCCATTTAATTTGCAGATATACAGATTAATCAGTAAAAGAGCTAAGTACGTCTTTTGCAGAGTACGAAATAGATCGTCGCACACCTCCGCGCGTTCTTACACCCCTCCCTCCTCGCGTCCGTAACGCAGTTCCCCCGAGATGCACTGGCTGACTTATTAAATTCTGTCCGCAGAGATTGCTTCACAGCCCATGTAGGAGCATCTTTAGGCGCTTTCTTAAAAGATAACCCAGAACTGGTTCTCTTTGTCCGTTCTTTCATAAATTCTTTCTTCGTATCCTTAATTCGACTGTCCAAAGTCCTAAGGAACTGCGTCACATTGTTCGCTCTCCAAGGCAATTCCAAGTGGCGCCAACCTTCCCCATCAGTGTCATCTTCATCCTCTGACATGTACCCTACTTTCAGAATTGCGCCAAATTCTTCCTGTTCTTCATCTGTTACAACTTTTAATCGCCTTTCCAACAACTAAATAAGTCACACAAAACAAAAAAGTCATTATCAACGGAATAAATTATATTAAACGTATCGTTGCTTCTTCTGGAAAACGATTTTGACATACCCTTTCCCTTCTGCTTCGCATGCACATTCTTCTCTTTTTCCTTGGCGTGATGGGATTGCGCGCCAATTTCTTTCGGGATTGAAAGTGGATCTTGACCGCTTCTACACGAAAACAAGTAGCCTGCAGGCATGATCATGATCATGTGAAAGACTATAAATATATACATCATGCAATGGTCAAACTGTGTGCATTCAGACGAAACATCATGCAGGACACGAGCCAGATTTTCACATTACATTTTGGTTATCCTATAGAGAAGTGCAGATGTATACTTCTGCGCTCATCAAATTAAGATATTTAATATATACATGATGCAATGATCAATCTGTGTGCATTCAGACGAAACATCAGGACACGAGCCAGATTTTCACATTACAATTTAGTTATCCTATAAGAGAAAAGTGCAGATATATACTTCTGCGCTTATCAAATTAAAATATTTAATATATCATCATGCAATGGTCAATCTGTGTGCATTCAGACGAAACATCAGGACACGAGCCAGATTTCCCATTACAATTTAGTTATCCTATAGAGAAGTGCAGATATATACGTCTGCGCTCATCAAATTAAAATATTTGATATATACATCATGCAATGATCAATCTGTGTGCATTCAGACGAAACATCAAGACACGAGCCAGATTTTCACATTACAATTTAGTTATCCTATAATAGAGAAGTGCAGATATATACTTCTGCGCTTATCAAATTAAAATATTTAATATATACATCATGCAATGGTCAATCTGTGTGCATTCAGACGAAACATCAGGACACGAGCCAGATTTTCCATTACAATTTAGTTATCCTATAGAGAAGTGCAGATATATACTTCTGCACTTATTAAATTAAAATATTTAATATATACATCATGCAATGATCAATCTGTGTGCATTCAGACGAAACATCAGGACACGAGCCAGATTTTCACATTACAATTTAGTTATCCTACAAGAGAAAAGTGCAGATATATACTTCTGCGCTTATCAAATTAAAATATTTAATATGTACATCATGCAATGGTCAATCTGTGTGCATTCAGACGAAACATCAGGACACGAGCCAGATTTTCCATTACAATTTAGTTATCCTATAGAGAAGTGCAGATATATACGTCTGCGCTCATCAAATTAAAATATTTGATATATACATCATGCAATGATCAATCCGTGTGCATTCAGACGAAACATCAGGACACGAGCCAGATTTTCACATTACAATTTAGTTATCCTATAATAGAGAAGTGCAGATATATACTTCTGCGCTTATCAAATTAAAATATTTAATATATACATCATGCAATGGCAATCTGTGTGCATTCAGACGAAACATCAGGACACGAGCCAGATTTTCACATTACAATTTAGTCATCCTATAGAGAAGTGCAGATATATACTTCTGCACTTATCAAATTAAAATATTTAATATATACATCATGCAATGATCAATCCGTGTGCATTCAGACGAAACATCAGGACACGAGCCAGATTTTCACATTACAATTTAGTTATCCTATAATAGAGAAGTGCAGATATATACTTCTGCGCTTATCAAATTAAAATATTTAATATATACATCATGCAATGGCAATCTGTGTGCATTCAGACGAAACATCAGGACACGAGCCAGATTTTCACATTACAATTTAGTCATCCTATAGAGAAGTGCAGATGTATACTTCTGCGCTCATCAATTAAGATATTTAATATATACATGATGCAATGATCAATCTGTGTGCATTCAGACGAAACATCAGGACACGAGCCAGATTTTCACATTACAATTTAGTTATCCTATAATAGAGAAGTGCAGATATATACTTCTGCGCTTATCAAATTAAAATATTTAATATATACATCATGCAATGATCAATCTGTGTGCATTCAGACGAAACATCAGGACACGAGCCAGATTTTCACATTACAATTTAGTTATCCTATAATAGAGAAGTGCAGATATATACTTCTGCGCTTATCAAATTAAAATATTTAATATATACATCATGCAATGATCAATCTGTGTGCATTCAGACGAAACATCAGGACACGAGCCAGATTTCACATTACAATTTAGTTATCCTATAATAGAGAAGTGCAGATATATACTTCTGCGCTTATCAAATTAAAATATTTAATATATACATCATGCAATGGTCAACCTGTGTGCATTCACACTAAACATCAGGACACGAGCCAGATTTTCCATAACAATTTAGTTATCCTATAGAGAAGTGCAGATATATACGTTCGCGCTTATCAAATTGAAATACTTAATATATACATCATGTAATGGTCAACCTGTGCATTCACACTAAACATCAGGACACGAGCCAGATTTTCCATAACAATTTAGTTATCCTATAGAGAAGTGCAGATATTTACGTTCGCGCTTATCAAATTGAAATACTTAATATATACATCATGTAATGGTCACCTTGTAAAGAGCTGGGTAGAGGAGAAGCACACGTATTAATGAAATATCTAGCTAATCTGCTGTCTTTCCTGGTTCCCAATTATTGCATGCATGGTATAAAAAACTGCATACACAAACCTTTTGCCGTCTCAAAAGAAGTCTTTTTTCCCAAGTTTTTTTCTGCGAGATAAACCTCTCTTGCGAGACTCTTAATCTTCATCTGATTCGTTGGGGAGTCTGCTCTGAAATCAAAAATGAAAGGAAATCTACATCAATTAGGAAAAGGGTTTGAAACATTAGTAATCACTTTATGCGTCACTTATACGCAACTGACTGTATTCAAGCATAACCTGTTGCCTTTCTAAAACCATTTTCTATATTTATAATATAATATACACTTGTTCCTTGTAATATACGTATACGTATGTATTGATGATAAAGTACATACAAAGCATATTTTCAAATTAATATAGCCACTCAACTGACTCAAGGCGCGCGATAATTAAAATGCATGCATGGCTTTCGATACAGTCGGTATTTGGGGTATTTGTTATACGAAATACAAAAAACTGCATTGAAAAATGGGACTTAGTCTATGACAATGCTATAATGAAAGATTTTGGTTTGGTTGTATCCCTGTAGTTCATATATAATCACCGTGCTAAACATAGCATAGGAAAAATAACTTAATTGGCAAATTTAGCCCATGCATGCATGCAGCCGGAGGCTATAACCAAACACAATTTTCCCATTTTTGTTTAGGTTCACAGTTTCCTTTTTATTCCTTGTATACGGTGACCACAGCGTTAAAATTACAGAAAGTGAACACATAATACCTTTCTTCCACGTCGAATGTTTCCAAACCGTCTTGGTCTTCTTTTTGCTTAATTATTGTTCTGACAGTGCTCTAAATTGATTATTGCACGATTAATAATAAAATGGATTATGATAGTCACGCAATTTTTAATCCCATATGATATCATGCGCTTGTTCGTCAATGCCGAAATGTTTCATTTTATTTTCGTTCAAGTTTCAAGCCAAAATTAGTGAGCTTTGGCATGTTTTCTTTGTGATTATTGGTATGAAATTCATTCCATTCGGTACCGGACAGACAAGCCGCTCTTAAATTTACATAATCTATGATTGTATGTTGTATAATGATACAGCACAGTTTATACATATGTAGCTAATGCTCCCTTTTAATCATGAAACACGACGTATTCGATACAAATTCAAATTTCACGTGATGCATGATATATTCAAGATATATTCAATTCAAATTTCACGTGATGCATATATTCAAGATATATTCAATTCAAATTTCACCTGAGGCATGCATGTGACAAGAATTTTTTTGACATGCAAACTTTGCATGCCGGATAATAGCCCCTTTTAAAGAGAGTTATTTTTAAAATAAAACCCAACCTTTATATCAGCAGGTACTTTAGCTTTGCGACTCCGCTTCACACTTGTATTGTTCTTTTCCTCAAACTGTTTGAGGCGCTGTTCAATAGCCACCACTGATTTAGACAGGCCTCCCAAAGTATCGCGCATACGATCATTCTCCTCTTTTTGTTTGTCCAACTTCTGTTAAAAAAAGAAAGCACACACCCGTGGATTAACAAAACCAGGTTTTAGTCTATATATATATATATATATATATAATATATATATATATATATATATATATATATATATATATTAATAATTATTGTACAATATTTTACTTATAGCCTATACATACCTCATTCATTGCCATTTGCTGCTCCAAGATCCCTCGAAAAATGACCGACATTTCGCTCTCCTTAACAGAATCATCAGGAACTATTGATTCATCGTCTGTATGCTCATTTGAAATAGATTCATTGCCAATTGAATCATGATCAGACTGTTCGCTTGACTGATCCGACATTATTTTAAAGGCAAACCGGTTTAGCACTGAGCAGTTTTTTTCAAACCTTTAGCGCGATGTAAGCAACACTCAACTGAAGCGATTTCAAATGTGTTTGTGACTTTGTGTAACGAAATAAATTTGCCGTAGGCAGGGCGGTGTGCCAGCTTTTATCATTTATCACTTCCAACAGTATAGCTATGTCCTATATAGTCATATAATCTGCTCGTACAAAACTGTCGCAGATATATGAATTTCATAGACATAACAGTTTTTAAAAACCTTCACAGGTGGGTTATATGCACCTGAGTTTGTATGTTTTAAGCCTTTTAATATATATATATATATATATATATATATATTCATTAAAGCGACATGCCTTTATCCGTGCATTCATGCTAATTGATATACAAACATGCGGATATTCTGGGTTGCAACGAACCACCTGTCGGATGTCGAGGTTTGGAGACTGACCAAAAATACCACTTAAAACAAGGGCGATATTTTTGTCATCGCTGCCTCCCTATACATGCATGCACGCATGTTCTTATAATTATAATAGTGACAAGTGTATATGCATGTTTTCATATCTAAATTGTACACCGTTAAGAAATGGGTAAAGTATGTGTAATATACTCAAAATCACCTAACCGAACTTTGCATAAAACCGAACTTTGCTGCCGTGTCCATAAACTTACATATCATTCAAAACATACCAATATCACAACAACCCTAACCCTATTTATACCTATACAAAAATGGACTTTTTATACATTTGGCCCTAGTCAAAACCCAATAAAGCCTTATAACATCCTCCAAGCCCGCGTGTTCGACCAAAAAATGAAATGTACGGTTTGTTTTTATCAATTGTACACCTAGTTTATCAAATTACGAAACTCACTGAAATTCATCAATAATTAGAGCGCTTTCAGCGCGCAATGAACAAATCGGATTATAGATTTCACATATCACGCAAGTCTTTTAAGCCAAACTTGACAAAGCTTCGGATGCAAAAAAGCGATAGAATTACTGCATTACCGATAAAGCGTGTGTAAAAACGAGTTATTGCGATAATAGTCATAATATACTGTTAGTAATAAACACTTCATGGGAAAGGTACGTGCAAGGCAGCATTGTCCACATTGTAATCAAAATGTTAGCTACTCTACATATCGACAACACCGAATGCGCTTTTTTGATAATCAAAGAGGGAAGTGGAGAGTGGATAGTTCTAACATCAATGACGTATATGAAGGTACGTATATATGTAGTATATAATTCAGCATTGTTTTTTTATGATGGATTGAAGAAAACCACTTGCCAGTTAGCATACACAATTAACCCAGTATAATACCTTTATAATAATTTATGATGTTCAACTTGCATATTGCATAAACATTCGCATTGACAAACCTTAGCGCTATCAGTAAAATCAGTTTTAGAAACCTTAAACCTATACATAGGTTGTTTGTTTTACTCTGAAGTCAGTTGTGAACAATGATATGCACTCTTGATAAAGTGGGAGTAAAATGAAAATTATGAAATAATGCATGTTTGTTTGGAAAGTTTCATGTCATCAGTGAAATCACCCCTAAATTTCCTTCCTCTATTTTATAGGCGAAGGTTCCGTAAATTTTCCAGTAAGTTCGAAATTTCAAGTACTTTTTGGAGAAGGGGAATCTTCAACATTATGTGAAGATAATGCCCTGCAAGATATTGAGAATGAAGTGGAATTCCAATTCCAAGAGAATTTAGCAGGGACACAACAAAATGACATAGCAGACGACACTAGCAGCAATGATGATAGCAAATCTGAGAGTAGCAGCACGGATGAAGAGATCTGGGAGGCTGAAGATGTACCAGATACAACTGAAAACAGGGAAGACAACGCGCCCGAAGAAAAATCATGTGCCCTGCCTACAACGTCAATAATTGGGGCCATGTCCCTTTTTCTATTGTTATGGCAAGCTTCGTTTGGCATTTCTGGGTCAGCAATCGTTGTGCTTCTGAAATTCTTAAAAAGCCTGATTGGTATTCTCGCTGATGTAAGTGGTTCAGAAATTATAAAGAATATTGCGGAATCATTTCCAGTAAGTTTGGCAACTGTTCGCGCTTTAGTTGGGGCTAGCACTGATGACTTCACTGTCTACACTGCCTGTCCAAAATGTTACACATTGTACTCCAAAGAACATTGTACAAAAACGTTGCCCGATGGTCGTGTAGTTAGCAACTCCTGTGCGCATGTACAGTGGCCAAATCACCCACAGATACGGAAACGTGATGCATGCGGAGAAAAATTAATGAAGAAAGTGAGAGGAAAGACTGGAAATGTTTTTTGGTATCCTCGAAAAGTCTACGTGTACCGAAGCCTGTTCAGCTCGCTAAAAAAGTTTATATTTCGAAAGAACTTTTTCGAAATATGTAATCAATGGAGGCAGACTGAAAATGATGTTGAATTAGAAGAAATGTGTGACATTCATGACGGCAAAGTTTGGAAGGACTTTCAGACCTTTGAAGAACAACCTTTTCTAAAAGATCGGAACAACCTCGCATTAATCATGAATGTTGACTGGTTTAACCCATTCAAGCATGCACCAGGATCTGTAGGAGCTATTTACTGTGTTTTCGCAAATTTGCCGCGACAAGAAAGATACAAGAGAGAAAATGTAGTGTTACTCGGTCTCATTGAAGGTGAACCCAAACACGATTTAAATTCCATTCTCAAGCCAGCCGTTGACGAACTTTTGACGCTTTGGAAAGGACATATGTTTCACCAAGGCTGGAGATGCTTTTTTGTACGTGTCGCCCTTCTATGTATTGCCTGCGATGTTCCGGCAGCAAGAAAAGTTGCGGGGTTTATGGCACATAACGCTACCCGTGGTTGCTCGAGGTGCCTAAAAGAGTTCCCTGTAAAACACTTCGGTGCAAAACCAAATTATTCGGGCTTTGAAAGAAATTCCTGGCCAAAACGGGACTCAAGATCTCATCGCAAAAATGCGAAAAAAACTTTGAAATGTACGTCATCCAGTCAACGAAAGAAACTTGAAAGCTCTCTTGGTAGTCGATACACTGAACTATTAAGACTACCGTACTATGATGGTGTACGATTTGTCGTGATAGATCCTATGCATAACTTGCTATTAGGCACAGCAAAATGTCTATTCCATAAATGGGTAGATTTAGGACTGTTAAAGCAGGATGATCTGAAAAAGATCCAAGTCCACATTGATGAAATCGTTGTCCCTCCAGATTTAGGACGAATTCCAAACAAAATAGAATCTGGTTCCTCTGGGATGACTGCTGACCAGTGGAAGAATTGGACATTGGTGTATTCACCTTACATCTTGTCCACTTTTCTGCCTAAAGCCCATTATGAGTGTTGGATGCTTTTTGTTTCTGCTTGTCGGCTGATGTGCGCAAGAACGATAAATCGAAGTGAATTAAAACAAGCGGATCAGAATTTACTTGCATTTTGTAACAAGGCCGAAAGCCTCTATTCCGAGGAGTTTGTGACCCCAAACATGCATCTACATGGACACCTCGCGCAATGTATTGAGGATTACGGTCCAGTTTATGCTTTTTGGTGCTTTTCTTTCGAAAGGTATAACGGAATTCTTGGTGGATACCAGCATAACAACAAGGCGGTTCCAGTCCAAATGATGAAAAAGTTTTTAGAAGAAGACTATCTTTCGTCAGCATCAACCACCCAAGAATATCCGATGTTCTTGAAGCACTTTGCAAACTTGGTTAGCAGTGAAAATGAAAAGCTTTCAGGGACATTAAAACAGGTTTTTAGCGCAGGTTTCCAAACGAGATGCCACATAAGCCAGGTTCATCCACGCGACGTCTCGTGGGAAGAAGATAACGCAACTCAGGAACCTATTCCGCCATTTAAAACCAAAGTCTTAGACGAAGAGGATTGCGAGGACCTAAAGAATATGTACAAGTCTATTTTACCCGTAAACGAAGAAACTGACGAGATTTATGTGTCTTCCAGTTATCTGCAAGTGGAAAGAATGAAAATATATGGTGAAATTTACGACTCATCATGCTGTAAATCACCAAGAGCTAACCACGTCACGGCGTCTTGGTTTCATGATAACAATATAGCTCTTTGTAGTGACCCACATTTCCGGCCAGCTATAGTAAGGTTCTTCCTAAAGCACACTCTTGAATTTAATCGCGCCAATGGTGAGAAAAAACAAGAAACGTATCTTCTGGCATGTGTTTCATGGTTTAAGGACCACGAAAAAAAAAACTATTTCAAGTCGCCATTGGAAGTATGGTGTAGAGATATGTTTGAAGATTCGGGTCCAGCATCATTTTTACCTGTTGGACGAATTTTTGGAAGATTCTGTCCTGTTCAAGGTAAAGTTCCACTCCTCGGAAACCAACTCGAGAATGTTTTAATTGTTAATCCTTTACAACAGAAGTGGGCTGCAGAATAGTAAGGAACAGAACTCATAGAATAATAATACTAGAATAGTGGCAAAAAATAGCATTACCCGGCATTGCTTGGTGGAAACATTGTATTAAAGAACTCGCAAACCTGATTATCGGTGATTATAATAATTTTTCAATAACACCTTGAAAACAATTAACATCAAATGTAGTGAAACAACTGCTTAATATAGACAAAAAAAACTCTAGGATGTTTTGATCTAAAAGGGTCGACTTAAATCGAAACGTAGATATATATTTTTCGGTTTATTTTGTTATATTTGATGCGAATTTTTTATCGCTTTCATACTGCTATGTCTGTTTTCATTTGTACACATGAAAGATGAAATGTTCCATGAAAATAGTATTCAAGCAAAATGTACACGAATCTGCATATTGCAGGAATAAAAACATTTCTTGTTTTAAAGCTCTGTTTACACGACGATTTAAAATGGGTACCCATTTTATTAGTGTCCGGCCTTTGTTTTGGTAGTCTGGACACTAATAATATTAATTCGACACGGATACCCATTTTAGTCCTGCCGTGCCAATAAATTGAGTGTAGTGTGAATCGGGCTTAAATGACACCAAACTGGATGATTTTTATGATTGTAGCTACTATAGAGTATAATTTATGCATGAAATTATCCATTATATGTATGCTGACAAAAAACCAGTATTCTGCCAATAAAATTCTTGTTGACGCATGATATCTGTATGAATGTTTGGAACAAATTATACACGACCTAAGCCCAAGTTTACACTACTCTTAATTTATTTATATTTATATGCCCGGTCTTTGTTTTGGTAGTCTGAACAACAATAAAATTGGGCCGTTTTAGCCGTGCCGTGTCAATAAATTGCGTGTAGTGTAAACGGTCCTTTAGATAAAATGTGCCCGCCTTTGGTAAAGCGCCAACAGGCGTAAGTATGAATTATAAATCAATTTGTACAAGATTTGTACATAATCAAAGGCTATAAACATGGTGTTTTGATGTATCAACACTCTGTTGCATCTTTATCTGTCAAAATTTATGACGTGTATGAGGTGCATGTTATATGTTTATATCAACCAAAGGTAAACGCAAAAAAGGTTTAAGGAGAGTTTTACATGACTTCACATGGCTAATTTGATGTCATGGCCATGCAAATCGGGTATAGTGTATAAACAGAGTGTGTTTGTTTCGCCTAGTCGGGATTACACGTTCCATATAAACAGGCCCTAAAATTGAAAGGACTGAATCCAATTAGCCAAACTTTACACCTAAGCGGAAATTGGCCATGATTTTGCAATTATATTGTGATAATTGTGCCATATGCATGCAATTAAATTGTGATATGCATGGTTGTGAAGATAGAACTTAATCGTTCATGCAGGCTGTGACATTTATCCAATGGAAAGGAAAAACAAATCAAATAATGCTCATCATAAGCGCTCTCTCGCAATAGGAGGGAAAATACTCGTCGTAGACGAGAAATAAAAAGAAAATTGCGTAAATTGGCGAAGGATGAAGGAAGCAAACAAACAAACAACATTTCGAATGATACCATTGGCACTGGTTTAGCGAACGAGGTTAGGCATACAAGCGGTGAAAATCCTACACATTTAGAAAACATTAAAAAGCTAGAAGAGGAAAACAGTCGTCTGCACAAGCATGCAGTGTACTTCCACTACCGATGGAAAAAAAGCCAAGAGGAAACTAAGACGAAATGCCAACCAAAATTAATAGAACTTGACAGAAAGCATCTACATGTAGATGGAAAAGTCGGGGAAGGAACATTTGGAAACTGTTTTTTGGCAAAGTATGGATCTCTCAAAGTGGCAGTCAAAGAAATAAAGAGCGAAAGTTTAAACGAGAAAATCACCAGAGAAGCTGAGATACTACATAGCCTACGTCATCCTAATCTCCCTTTGCTTCTCGGCGTCTGTTTCCAGAAAAGTCCTTTTCTCATCATTACAACCTACCACAGTGTCGAAACTGAAGACGCCTTACTATCTACTACAATGTGCACTGCCTTGTCTGAAAACATTGTAAGTTCCGACCTTCGTCCACACTGGTTGGCCATATTGCACGACCTCTCTATGGCCATTTGTTATATTCACGAGAAGAATATAATTCACAACGATATTAAGACGAATAACGTGGTCATAGAGAAGCACGGCAAATGCTTTACTGCAGTTCTCATTGACTTTGGCAAAGCAACTGCAGCTAACAATGGCAAGAGCTACCCAGAATTTGGCGAGAAGGAGCGAGAAAAGTATGAGAGGAAGTACCCATACTTGGCACCAGAACTTAAATCAGGTGGAGGGAAACAAACAGTACGCACTGATGTTTATTCATTTGGATATTTAATGAAAGTCGTCAGCCACAGTCTCGAAAATAGGGAACTATCTTCACTTTATCACTCGTGTAAGAACATTTCAGAACTAAATAGGCCAAATATGCATGAGATTGAGAATTCATTGGAAAAGCTTAAGTTAAGTAGGTAATTTTTTGTAGATTGTATATGCCCCACTGTCCGCTAAATAGGTCACAATTGTAGCACTATATTAAATAAATAATTATGAACATCTAATCTACCGGATGCGGAAATTCGGGCTATCACCATGCAACTTATAGTAAATAAGTCAGCCTAAAACAGGTTATTGTTTAATTATTCTGGTCCTCTATACACACGTGTACACGAATTCAGGTAAATTATGATATACATATATTAAATAACTCCTAGCAAAAAGGAATTTTTTTATCAAAGATGCCTTGATGTCGCTTTGTTTGTCATCATTCAAAGAGCATTAAACTTGTAAGTGAAATTGACCAGAGCCAGCCCTATTTCCCGCTGAGGAGTCCACATGCATAAAGTTGCTTTCCAGTCACGCGTTTTTCGTAGGCACACGCACGAAAATTTTATAAATGCTTCTAAATGTTTATTATTTAGGTCTACAATTGCATACTAAAAAATATATATATATATATATATATATATATATATATATATATATATATATATATATATATAGAAAGAGAGAGAGATTTGCTGAAGCGAATAATTAATTTATTGCTTCCGTGCATTGTGATTAGTTATTCGAAGCTAACGTAGCCCACTTATAGAGCAACTTGCTTAATAGTAGCCCACTTCTAGAGCAACTTGCTTATCAAGATTTAAGTACAGGGAAATTTTGTTACGATTTGGAGAACGTGCTCTCCTGATTTATTCCTAGCAGGATTAAAAACTTCAAGGCGATTCGCACTTCGTTGGCGATTCATTGCTACAGTTAAGTAATATTCCCCTCACGTGCGTTGAGCATGTTTCAAGTGCAAGGTCAGCGTACCTATATAAACTGAAACGTTCCGAAGAGTTCAAGGTCATTTATATCTGGCTGCCGTCGAAGCAATTCGAAAGTTTTCCCCACACCCTCCCTCTCTTTCTATAGGTGGTGTGCTACGATAATTTCTATGTAGTTATGCTGGTGTGGGCGTTTTTATCACCCCATCTTTTCTGTGCTGTATTAAAATACGAACGTTGTAACAATTAACTATAATTTGTTACTTTTGACTTAATTAAATCGGCATGTGCTTTAGCACATTGCCATTATTTTATCCAAAAATGTGATCTGTTTTATTTTAGTTGCATGCCTCTAATTTGCCCAGAAAACAAATCAGTTCAGAACTGCTGCTTTCAAGCCAGTTTTTTCTAAATACCTTCAGTTTACCTTGGGGTATTGTTTACAGCAGTAAAAAGTAGCTGCAAAAAAATAGTCTTCGCTTTGATTTAGCTATATACTAAAGCCTAATACGTTGAACAATTAACCTGCGAACAGACTGCACACGAAAATGGCTCATCCCCCAAATTTATTTACACACCTTGGAACAACCGTGTAAATACCCATCGCGGCATCGCCAAATTATTAGCCGTTTAATCTAAGTGCATTTGGAACAACCGGCTCTGGATTATTAAGCCGTTGTATTCTAGACGTATTCCGTTTAACGAATACCACAGAATTTCATCAGTATTCCAAACCGTATAGTAGTTGGTAATACTACGGAATATTATGGATATTCTTACCGTATTCTGACTCGCTATACGGTATTGGAATATGTATTTTATTCCGACCCGTATAGAGAGTGGAATACTTGGGAATACGCAGCTTTTCGCCCAGTGTTGCATAGGTTAAAAAGTAGTCTATAATGCAAAAGGTCAATTGACGCAGCAAAGTATAGAATATTGAGAGCTTCGTATCGTATAAAATTGTATTCAACACAGTTATAGCAATTGTATTTTACGCAGTTTTTGTCCCCTTTTTGTTAAAATTAGACTTGCGAAATGTGCCAATTAATGTTTTACTAGCAAGTTTTAGTATAGCCATAGAGACACTAATTTAGTCATTTTATTACAAAATGTACTAATGTGTGAGGGACTTACGAGATATTAGTGAGCTTGGTTGGCACGAGTAACGTTAAAAGACAGGGTCAAGGATTATGATTGGTGAAAAACAAAAACTTTCTTCCGGTCAACGTACAGGTTGACCGAAACTTGAGCTCGTCACTTGCTTAAGCTATTTAATATTCTTTATCGGCCTCAAATTTACTCCGTAAACTCAAATTTAAAATTACATTTGTTACTTTAGGTAATCTATAGTTCAAAATGTCTTTAGAATGTGATCACAATTTGGGTATGGCCTCGCGTGACATAAAAGACGAACAGATATCTGCTTCTACGTTTGATGGTTCTTATAAGCCAAAACAAGCACGTTTTGGAGGAAATTCGGCATGGTGCGTCGCATCGCGAAATGGTTCTGGGGCCTTTCTCGAGGTTGACTTGGGGGAAATCAAAAAAGTAACTTGGATAGGCATTCAAGGTTTTGGCGGTGGATACGTTTCAAATTTTACCATACAGTACAAGAGAAGAGAAGCAGAAAAACACTGGCGAAATTTTGTGAAGAGACTACCATTTAACACCAGTCACATTGTGGTAGGTGGTTTTCTAAAAATTTTACTATCCATTTATAGACTTCAGCAAATACTATTGAAAAATAAGAAACGGAAAAATGAAAGCGGTTTCTATCAAAGGCGATCCCTGCGACAATCTTTGAGGCCTAGCCAACCTCCTGATGTAAGCTAGCGCTAGTTAAGAAAAGGTTTAACCTCCCTACATTTTCAATGAATTCTTCTATTAGAAAATGGTTTCTATGTATACAGTTAAATTTATCTCATCTGGTTGGAATTTTCAAAGAAAATTGCGGTCAACAACAATATATAAAACAATAATTCCTTTCTGATTCGGTTGAAAAGAAAAATATCTTAAATTAATTATTTGCCAAAAAAAGAATATAGAGTTGCCTCCTATAGGTAGGGCTTATTCTTTTGACGACCCAAAGCACGATTGAACACCTCAAAAGTGAAGCAAGCGTAATTTACCGAGAGAGCCGCATCAAGCAGCGTTTGTGTGAGTGACTGAGTGATTTGACAATCTTGAGGTTATGCAAAGATTATGATTGACCACGCGGCTGAGATTAATGAACTTACAAAGACCTTTCTCAGTTGTGCGTGAATAATTCTTTGGGGCATTTATGCTGCACTGCAATACCTCGCTAAAGACTAAAGTATGTTATTTCTCTCACATCACTGTAGACATTCGAGGGTAACAGTGATAACATTTCCATCGTACACAAAAGATTTAAAGGATCTCGCATTCTTCGGTATCTCCGATTTGTTGTCCTTGGAGGCGTGGGCGAAAGGTGGTGCTCAAGGCTAGAATTATATGGATGCGATTGGGAAAACAAAGGTACTGAGTAGAATGCTACGAACTTTAAGATCAAATTGAGCTGGCAAATAATGAGTAAGTATCTACCTAATATGAACGAGTTTTGTAATATCAATTTCTATAGTTCACTGTGTTTTATTGTTATTATCAACCAATAGCAAAGCTTGTTCATATATAGGTAATTAAGTACCGACCGCAGATAATGCAATGCTAGCGGTTTGTTTACATTTTCAAGTTCATATGGTTCAGAATGAGAATTCAAGCATTAAGCTAAACGACTTTACTATGCGCGTGTTGGTCAAACGGTATGTAATGTCAACCTTTGTATTTCCATTCAGTAACATTTCACTTTCCTCTTCTTCTAATTGAAGACGGTCTGGTTTCCTATCAATCAGCTCAAGGCAACATTCGTGGTTTCAACGATACAGCGGTGACAATGAACGATGTAACATACGACGGTACTGTGGAGCATTATGGGCGACGATTCGGAGTTCTACAGGGAGGATTAGGGCAACTTACAGACGGTGATGTTGGTGGCGACGCCTTCTGGCTGGATAATGGCAACGGCAAGAGCTTCGAATGGGTTGGTTGGTACGATCTCGTCAACTTGAAGCCGTCCATATTGTTCGAATTTGAGCATCCACGACGATTCCATAAGATCTTATTTCATGGCAACAATAGACCAGGCAACGTGAGAGTTTTTAAAAACTTGCTCGTGGCCTTCAGCATGGATGGTTCGTACTTCTCAAGGAAATTTGTATTCTATCCAAGTAATGGTATAAAAATGAAAAGAAATCAGAGTATGTGGATTGAAGTAGATTTACACGGACATATTGGAAAGTATCTAAACTGCGAGTTCTCTTACGAGGGAAAATGGATCGTGCTAAGTGAGATTAGGTTCGCGACTGGTAGGTAAACTTTATTATAGTCTGAAGTGTATACACTGTATAGCTCTTTTAAATGTTCGCCTTGAGGCATTTTTTTCCACGAATCATTACCTTGAACATTTTAGCGCCATATGACTCACTGAAGTTATTGATAGTGTTATATTGTTTATTTGTCTTTAAATCAACCAAACGATGACCTCTTTAATATTGGGAAAAAAGGAACTTTTGCCTAAAACCATTCCGTCATGATTAACTTATGTACAACCATTCCGAACACGGCTTTATTATATCACCCTCTATTTTTTGTTTAATTAAATCGTGTCGAAAGATGTTTTGGAAAAGTGAAAGATTAAGCTTTTACATCAATAAAGAAGTCATAGCAATCTCATGAAATTATATCCTTGGCCTAAAGCAAAAACGTTATATTTTTGTCTATAGAGGAATACAAAGGTGAAAGCAATACCAATAAAGAGACACCCACGAAAGGAAGAGGTAAACCTGAGTTAGGCGGCTAATATACCATTTAGCTTGATTTTGTCTTCTCTTATATGCCTCGGGAGATGTGTATCAGGTTCTCCAAGTGTCTTTAAATGAGGAGAATGCCATCATCCAGCAAAGGACGCGTTGAGCCCCTTTGTAACATACCAACTTCAATGCGAATGTTTGAATAAAGAATCTTTATAACAGAGGCTTTGATTTTCCTTGACTTTGATAATGCAAGAACTGATCATATTCATAAAGATTGTTTTAATTAGGATCCTCATTTAAATTGGCTGTATCATCACTCGTCACGGCCTCTTTTAAGATTTTTTGCGGGGGGGGGGGCATTCTCTAAAGAGGGACATTCGTCTCCATTATAAACTCGTTCCCAGGGCATTTTACCTTGATTCTGTTCATTTATGCTTATTCAAAATACTCACGAGATGTGGGTATTCCTAACGACCGATTTGGGCCCTGGGGACGAGTTTGGTCATTATACACGGACAAGTCTGATATTCCATCTAGGTCTCTAAAACTTATCAGCATTCAAAAAAATGGGGTTTTTAATGCAAGCAGACAATTTCAATGAAATACAAGAAAAAAATACTCCGTAGAATAACATCTTGTAAACGCAAGATATGAGCTATTCAGAACAAAAGAAGAATTTTACTGTGATATTCTAGTTTGACTTTAAAATGAGGTTGAAATATCACCGTACAATTCTTGTCTTGTTGTCAATAGCCCATATCTTGAGTTTACAAAATGTTATTCTCTGTTATTCTTATGCTTTTTCTTGTTAGCATTTCCTTTCAAAGTTCTCGTTTTTGTAATTCCTGAACTTGAACAATATTTACCGTTTTTATCATATTTTCAGAAAATACTCCGTCTGTAAGAAAAACGGAACGTGAACTGAAGGAAACGAACAAATTCTTGAGTCTGCAGGGTATTATTGCAATGGCTGCGGTGGGCGCAGCACTGTTACTACTCACCGTGCTATTCATAATATGGCTGGCGAGAGTGCACCAAGAAGGCAAAGACGGTGAATATCCAATAAGGAATGTTAACCGCATCGTGAACTCGTTGAAGAGAGGAACATTGCAGAGGAAAGAGGGCAAGAAACCGAGGCATTACAGTTCATCAAGCGAGTCCGATGAGGATGTTGAGAATTTGATGGTGAGGAAAATGAATAACGACGTACCCAGAGACCAGCCTTGGTTTAAATCTCGTAAGTAGAGAATTCAGCTATGCAAGGTTACTTAAAAAAAACGAAACGGAATTAACAGATGTTTGCAAAAAGATGTATTAAATTAAATGATTTAATTCTTCAGTATGGGAGACAGGAAGAGCCGTTATTTAGCATCCCAATCATACCTTTCTTCAGTTCATAACAGCAAGAATTAAATGATAAAATTAAAAAATGTTGATTTCTGGCCATTATGGCTTGTTATTAAAAATTAAACCTATGAACTCGATATTTTGGGCATGTTAAAGTGTCCATTTCAGGTAATTTATTTCCCGGTCAAAACAAGGCAATTTTCTTTGCACTTCCAATTTCGTATTGTGAATTAAAAACTGAATTCAACAACCTATTCAGCGTCTTTGACCATGCACTTAGTGCATCAGCACAATGTATAGTAGATACTGTAAGTTCTTGTCATGAGCTTAATATTAGGGCATCGGTCAAGTGAAACCACTATACAGGGTGTATAAATATGTTCCCTCCTATTCATAACAAAAGCTCGTAAGCCCCTGGGAATGATTGAGGTTGCAGTTTTTTTTAAACACCCTGTACAGTCAAGTCGAGTTCTGACAATTACCAAAAATAAAGCGCAAAGTTTTGTTTCATCGTAAGTGTCAAGTGAAATTGTGCCGGTAATCATTTGAGAAGGAAAGCTTAAAAGATGTTTACCTGAAGGAAATGTTTGCGAAAAATTGATCATCAGTTACTGTCTGACTTGAACATATGATTGTTTTTCAGTGGATAAACACAAAATGAACAACATGGTCATGATGAACAACACGAAATCTTGGGATGATAAAAACTTAGGGGACAATGTTGCAGAAAAGGCCTTGGATCTCGTGCAACTGGATGTGTAAATATTCTTATTTAGAGTTAGCTAACATGCGACGTATAGATACAACTTATACAATTACCTACAGGTCTTCTAAGATATAAATAGAGATAAATATGTACATGCAGAAACTTGTTCCATTGTTGCCTTTAAATTAAACGCAATTATTCCCTGATTTATTTTAGACGATAATTAGCTATAAGGCCTGCCATCAATATGATTATCATATTTCTAAATAACTCTAATAAGATCTAAAGCTGTCCGTCAAATTATGCATATATCCTTGCATGTTATATTTGAAGAAACCATGCGTGAATATCAGTATCACAATCGCATGGTATAGAATAGTAATATAAATATATACTAACCTTTGTAATTTCATGGCGGAAGGTTTTTCATGGCTTGATTATTTCTAGATTTAATATGTTAATTAAGAGGACTTAATTTCGTGTAAATCATTAAATTGTAAATAAATTGAGAAACGAACAGCCAATTAACTCTACCGATTGCAAAAAGGTCTACGTATATTCAATATTCATATTCAGACTAATTTGTAAGCCAATATTTTGGGTTATGTAATTCTGCATGGCTGTTTGTTTCAAAACGTAGGGAAAATAATTTAACTTTACACAATAAACATTCTGTTAAGAAACATCACTGCTGGGGTAGCTAAACCACAGATAAAAATCGAAACACGGTTTAAAAAGATCGAACAATGGACGAATAGGGGGTCCTTATAAGAATATTTTCACGTCTGCGCCACGTTAAACAAAAGAAAGAACAATCAATCAGGAATTTGTCAGGCTTTTTGTTATACAGGGTGTATAAAAAAAGAAGACCTTTAGAAATTATTAAGTTATAATTGAGAAATTATAATTCAAATGCACCGTCACTACGCTAAGCCATTGCATGCATAAAATATTGTCAGCTTTGTGCATATATTATACATCTTTGTCACAAGCACAAAAGCCCTTCTGCTCCTGGGAATTTGACATAACTTCTAAAGGCAAAATTCTGCACAATAATGCATGGCAAAGAAAAGTTTTTATCGGCAAAAAATACGTACGTACAATTAAAACACGTTTTGAGAAAGGTTCATGAAACTTAAATGAAACTTAATGAGGTTAATCAGCTCATTATCTACTGTTTGAATTGCATTCGACGCGACCAAAATGCGACGTATAACCTAGGCCTTAGACTTAAGCCACCCGTGCATGGGCTTAGAAAATTGATCATGGGCATTTAAATTATAACAATAGTTTAATTTCTAAAGGTCTTTTGATACACCCTGCACAGAACATATATAATTATGCATATGATAATAGAATCGACAAGTGTTTGTCATAAGAGATCATTTTCACCACTCGTATATTGATCGAATTTGTATTTGCAATTTGTTCGTTTTATTCTTCACTGATACCGAACGAAAAACATGTCATTCCACAGATGAAAGCTTGTTCTTTCCTAGTATCTAAAAATTATGCTTATGATCAAGTAAGTTACGCGAATTAAACTTTAAATTTCAGATTATACATGCACGCGGTATCATTTAGGTTGTTTATAATTAAAACAACACTGATACGAAGTTTGAAAATGTTATAAACATTTATAGAGCAATATGCATACTTATAAATGAGCTTATTTCACTAACGATACTGACTAACTCCCAGCATTTGTTTTTTTAAAGTATGATTTAAACTACATTAATATTTAGTATACATATACAATTTAATAACGTATACGACGTATAGCTACATGGCAGTATCTGTCGAGAAATTTAGGCCTGTGGTCCCACTATGTATATCTAACAGATAAAATAGTTTCATGTATCGTCAAAAGTAGCGGATTCAGGGTAGGCTAAGTCAGAACTCAGAATAAATTGCACCGTCTAATTTAAAATTTAAAATACCTAAATATAATATTGTAATGCTATATATACCATAGTAAACGGTTATTCATTTCTAAGGAATATTTTCGCATAGAAAACCTACTAATATAATTGCAATTAAGTAAGAGCTGTAGTAATCAGTCTCTGGATCAGCCGCTTCAGTCAAACATGGAATTTGTAAAATAACTAAATTGCAAACGGGTAATTACAACGCCCGGGTGATTATTATATGTAATATAGCAGAATGCATGTTATCGAATCTGTTAATTGTCATAAATTCATTATTTAGGTTTTTAGTTTAGGTGGGGCAAACCGAGACCGCGGGTATAATGGAGGAATGACCTCTCACTATTTCGAGAAAAGTTTATGAAAATGTCGACCCATACGAACTGCATTTAAACCATCAAGCAGTTTCTAAAAGGACTTCACCGATAAGGTGTTAAGGTGTTAACTTACAATTATCTTCCATTGGACTCGGCGCGCCCCCTCAAAAGAGTAGGCTACAATTTTTAGAATTATTTTTAAGTGTATGTAGATAGTAAAATTCCTATAAATTAACGCGTATATAATACTTTTTGAAACTTTATACAGATTGATTTGAATTAAAATCATTGTTTACGATATCAGTAAAAAGATTGTTCTGGTTTTCATTCTTTTAATTTCCTGACGCGCGAGACAGGAAAGTTTCTGCTTTCCAAGTGTTTCCTATCAAAAAACTTAAAATATATTGTTCACTGACTGGATACTCCGAATTGAAAAAATTATGGCAGAGGTGTCAAAAAGGCCCTAGACGAAACGAAACGAGACGAAACGAGACGACACGAAACGAAACAATCAAAGTTTTCCGTTAACTTTACTCATCAAAATTTTCGGTTAATTTCAGCACATATTTTCAAATTCAGGAATTGAAAGCCTGCAAATCAAATAAAAAAACAACCTTTTGCTGAGATATATCACTATATTGTGAAATTTCGCCCGTTGCTACAGCCGACAGACTGCAGGGAGGCTAGGATTGGCTAAAGCACACAGGAAGGTCGAGTTTAAAACAGTCTTTATAAAGCAGAATTTCTTGTTATTTTCAGATACGCATTGCAAATTTGTCCTTGTGAAATATGTCAATCAAAATTGCGGAAATAAACCGGTGCTTTTTGGGTAATAGTTTGAAGTGTACAAACGATTGAGACGAAGAGGAAAACCATGGTTTGGAAAGAAAATTATATTTGAACAATTATATGTAGATGACACCAATCAAAGATTTGTGAAACATGAAAAATAACAATTGTGAATAATAGTTGTTTTGAACGACGACCAGTGCATTTTCAACTTTAAAAAACCTGCATTTTAAAGTTTCACTTTTTCTCACTGTGCGACACGTGACCCTACAAAAAAGTAAGAATGGGAAGTAAAAAATATTGCAAACTCAAGACCTTATTTTTAAACACACGGATCGCGTACCATTTCCCTGAATTTATCACGTAAACGTTGCATAATATTTTTGTCTTCTTTAGGCGATGGTTCCTTTTCAATCTGCAGACCCTCTTCGCTCGACTCGAGCGATGCCGATGCCGATGGCGTGACGATTTTCACCTGTGGGACTTTCTCTGCAATCTAAAATTGAGATTGAGAAAATTGAGAAAATACTACAGCAATATATTATTAAACTATTGTTGGAAACAAATAGTCTTCTTTCCAAAAAGATAAGTTTTATCGTAGAAGTAATTCGGTATAATTATTAGCTATAATTTATACTATGAAAAATTTCATACTCAAAAGGAAGCAAACTCGCATCTGCTCCACTCTACTCTACTCTTAATTTCAAAATTAGTTTTCTGCGATGCACTATTGCATTATACAGCGGTACGTAAAAGAAATACATAAACTATAACTACATATACTATTCTTTCGATCACGCGTTTTTTGCCTAGGAGATTAGGGTGTTTTAAAGAGAAATTTGCCCCGTGACTCAAATTATCTGTGCGGCCCAGTTAATAACTATTAAGATTTCAAATCTCTCTAATAATATTCGAGCAGCAATAACAAACCTGTTTTTGACGTTCTGATAAACCACTTTGATATTCCAAATGTTTGGCAAATGACGTACTAGGCAGCTCTACCCAAGCAAAAAACAACAAAGTAAATCTAAAGGCATCAAAACAAAAACCTGCGCCCACCGCTCCCTCCCCGCTGCAGGGTTCGTGCAGAAAAATTGCCTTTTGTTTAAAATATATTCAAAAATTTTCAACGTAATGCATGTTTGAAGACTGCATATAGTAAACAATGTTGGTATAAGAAAATTTTAAATATTATACATGCAGTATGTATTGATATAAGAAATTTTCGAGGTTTTGATAATGTTAACAAATATCAAATAGCAAAAATGCAAAATAATGGGCATACACCAGCCTTTACAGTTTACATTATGCTTTCAGATTCAGCAATCAAGATTTCTATGCATGGAATTGCCAATTATATATACATTATTTCATATAATTGCATGGGCCAAAATTATGTATACCGTTCATTCCTGTATTACTTGTTGCTGCTGACGCACAATCCTGTATAGCCAAGTAACAGAGTATTAGTAATAGAGTTCATTACAGTATAAACTTTCAGTGGACTATTTAACAAATAGATTACAATGAACCGTTGTCTGTTCAGTTATAGATACACGGTATGACGTCATATGTGATAAGAACAAAAAAAGTGGCCACGAGCCGCCGGGGCGAGTGGTCACTCTTTTGTTCTTATTACATATGGCGTCATACAGTGTATCTATAACTGAACAGACAACGGTTCATTGTAATCTATTTGTTTTATATAATAAAACTGAAAAAAATCCAAAATTAATTGAATTATTTGTTTGTAATTTAAAAACAAGAAAATTGCTGTGACGTCATTCCGTGCGTCTGTCCTCTTATAGATCATGGCTCTCGACCAATGAAATTGCCTGAATTCTTTACGTTATTATATAACATCATGTATATGTCGACAAAAAATTGGAGAATAACGACAGGATATTATGTATGTATGTATGAAAAGTATGCATGAAGTGCTGTTGCTGGGTTCTAAACTATACTTATTATAAGCACAATTTATTAAGGGAGGACTTACATCTGTCATAGACTCCACTGAGACAGCAACTTTTAAATTCTTATAATCTGCACGATTTCGTACGGTCACTCCTGAAGTATAAAGGATGAATATATATGCTAATTTCTTAATTTTTTTTCAATACGATGAAACAGATCGACTTTTGCAATGTGAACAGATAGAGGGGATGTTTCAAATAGCTAAAAGGGAGCTTTTCAATCATGCTCGGAATGGTATATATGCATGATAGATTTCTTATATACATAGTGTATATTGGTAGAGTAAATATTGTTCCCGAATTATCCTCTGTAGAAATCGCGGACACAATTAATCTATTGGAATTTTAGTTTAGGAATGTGTAAACCAATCCTCTTATTAAGGAAATTTTAGAAAGTGATAATAACGCGCTATAGTTGTGAACATGAACCTGGAATGGTCTGTTTTATGGTCGCTCTTGCTACTCCGGACAACATGGCTGCTAATCCAGCCGGAATGTACGATCCGCCCTCCTCGTCGTCACTTGACCCACTATCACCTTCAACACTGTGCGCTACCTGAAAAACGATGCTAGCTTAATACCTTTGCTACGATGCTATATAGCTTAACAAATTCCTAAGCTACACCGAAAATGTTCAACTGTATAGACTGCTTTCATAAGTGCCCTTTCCAAACGTGTTCAGCACACAACTTTCCCGAAACTTTTTTGAAAGGTTCCTTGTATAGTTCTGGGCCACATGCATCCACATGCATTTCATGACAACTAGTATCTTAATTGGGTAACTTTATTTCTGTTGAGGTTAAACTTATAAACATGAAGCACCTACTTGACCATGAATAAGATTTCGAAGATATTTTATTTTTTGTGTTCTTCCAACCTGTTCCAGATATTCATTTCGTAGTTTTATCATTCTAGAAACGAATACCAATAAACGATAAAAACGTGATTATACACCATAATATAGTGAAAATATACACTATATACTGAAACAAACATATAACAGTGAGCATTGGTGGGTGATTGTACAGCAAAAACGTGTATGGAGCAAAGGTTAATGATTACTATAGTTGAAGATCCCATCGTCTCGGTGATTCTGTAGCAAACCAACAATGCTGCACTAGGCTACGGAATATACACTGCGTACTTTCCCCCCGGCACCCTGTAATGTACCAACACATCATGACCAAGCTAGTATATTAAAAAATCGTAGGAGGCTAGTGCGAAGCGAAAATAACCATACACCTGCATAAAAACGACTTTTAATGCAGTTCTTGATTTGTATACCACAGCTTAATTCCATTTAATATAGCAAAAATTATCCTGTTTTTTCTAAATGACTAGCCCGATTGGAATTAGCTATTAACCGGTTTAGTGCTTAACGAAATCCCTGCAGAGTGGAAAGACCACGATGAGACTCATGGGCAGGATTCTAATTTGCTATATAAATGCAGCTTTTTTCGTTTTAATATCAAATTTACTATGTCGAATATTGCCCTCATGCTTAAGCCAAATCGAAATCACCATCACTTTTGAAGTAATTAATTGATAACAGCACTATATCAATTAATTACTACAATAAATTTTTGTTGTAAATTATTTCTCAATTCCAAGAATCGCTCTTCCCAGAACTTGGAAATTTGCGGGGTTGCGGGTTTATTGCAGGTGCGGCAGTTGCTAAGGTCTTATTATTCGTCTATTAACGTTTGTAAATGAATGATCTATGTAGTAACATCAATCAAATTACTCAGAAAGATGCCCCGATTTTCTGAATGCTGGCGCTGTGGCAATTCTATGAGTGTTGGTATTAATTGTAACCTGTGTGGTATTGCCAAATACTGCAGTGAAAAATGTCAAAAGTATGACATATTCCGACACGAAGCTGAATGCCTACCGGCGTCGATCCTCAGAACATGTACGGCCTGTAGAAAAAGTGGTCCAAATCTTAAAGCATGCACTGGATGCTACCAAACTCACTACTGTAATGCAAACTGCCAGAGAAACAATTGGGAAAGACACAAGATCGATTGTTTGGAAGTCAAGGAGTCGGTAGAAGCGACAGCCAAACTTATTTTGGCAAATTATGTCGTACGTTCTGAGGAGACCATGGCGTCCTGCGATTATTTCTATTGGGGTAACGTACCGGCCATTGATTGCCTGAATTTGATCGAGAACGAGAGCGCAGCGTACGGTTTTGCGTTGAAAGTTCTTCTTTTGGTGTCGGCGACTTACGAAACCTGGCGTTAACGTGTGCTTCTTTGCCAGATTCATACAGCCACAAGGTATTGTTTACCTTGAACGACAAAGAGAGCTGCGTTTTGGCAAGAATTGTACTGTTGCTTTATATCATGAACGGAGGTGAGCAAACGTATAGACTTGCACCACAGTGGTGCTGGTGTGCCTTACTAAAACGATTATAGCTAGGGCGATATAAAATTAGAAACGTTTCCCCGCGGGAAATCGTTTTGGTTTCGAAATCGGGCAGTGTTACCAATTAACGTTTGATTTATTTTACTATAAGTATAAGCGGTAAGAATGCGAAAGGGAGTCGAGCCCACCTTTGCATGCGCGGCAACTCCAATTAAAAGACAACAGTTTAGGAACTGTAAGAAGACCATAGTTAATATATAGGGGGAGACATAGTTTGAAACATAGATTGAAATGCACAAATGCAAACATGAATAAAAATATGCCGGTATTCACACTCGGAAGTCAAGGTTGGTTATGTCTAAGATTTGAAAATTCAATAGCATGTATATACGTAGCTCTGCTTTGAAAGATGTTAGGGTCATTCCTTCGCCTAACTCTAATCAATATTGATAAATAAATTCAATATCACCGACATTCTATAGTACATTCTCTACAGCCAGGGTGTATAGAAAATGTACTTCGACTTCAAATGAGAAAATACGAGGCCAATATAATGTTGGTCAGAATCACATAACAGAACAAAGGAAAAACCGAGGGAAGAACATGTCAGAGCTTGCACTAGTTTTACGACATGTTTATTGAAAATTAAATGCAATCATACAAAGAGGTTATGGTGCGATGCCTTCAACGAGATGACTATTGTTATAAAAAACATTTTTAATGTGATCTTTTCAAAAGATTAATGCTCTACATGTCTACATTCTACATTTTTACGCCTGCTCTGTTCTCAAGCCAGTTCCATCAGTTCTGTCCTTTTTTGCGCCTCCTCGTATTAATACTTCATGTCATTTTAACATAACTAATATTACTCTGACACTATATCTCTATCGATACAAAGTTAACATCGCCGACACTTTCGTTTTTTTGCCCAAGCAAATTCTGTATAATTAGTGAAAAGTAAATATATAACATTTGCTAAAAACCGCTACTTTCAATGCAAATAGATCTGAACAAATGCTCTTTGATGGTAGATGGTATTCAAATCTAACAAAACACGAATCTCTCCTTTGAAAATCACTTTCCACTTTAGGTGAATCAGACGTTGAGAAAACCGTCACAGAAATTTGGTATTCAACATTACTCAGCGAGGGAACATATCAATGTCTTCGCGCATCGCTTCTAGAGCTCACTGGCTTGACGTCCGCAGAAAACCTACTGTCAAACACCGCTGGTTTGATAAGGGTTGAAGAATTGCAGTTTCAACAACTGCAAGATGTCTGGAAAACCTGGCTTGGTCTGCGTGTGACAGGAACAAAGTGGATTCGGAAGCAACGCGAAGAATTGATGAAAACCCAATTGTATTCTCCATACACTGAGAACGTACCAGCACAACACGCCGCTTCGGCGAAGAGATGGATAGAGCAGGGTGTTTTCAAACGAACACCAGGGCCAACGTTTGCCGAGAACCCGACAATGACTGGCGTTGATTCAAAAGCAAGATATGCACCTTATTCCTACAGCGTGCCGGAAAGCGTCTTTCCTTTTTCAGGCTGGGACTATCAGCAAGTGAAAAAGTTCAAGAGTTGCAACTGCCTCGTGACGATGTACGGCGATTACATTGAATGCATTCTACGAAACACTCTGAAGATGTTCTCCAAGAAACAAATCAGCGTCCAGGTTATACTGAGCGATTGCATGGACATTCAACAACATCTCGAGGTGAACACACTGTACGACCGAATTCTTACGTCGAACCTGATGGACTACGTATTTTTACCAAATTTGCTGAAGCTTTGTTCCGAGATGTTGAACCACGACAACGACCAAGCGACCATCATAACGGAAACTATATTGTGGTCGGATAGTATAATGCCCGAAGGAGACGTCTCGTGGCCACCGAATATGACGCGACTCCCAAAGTTAACAAAAATTGCTTCGGAAGATACCAAGCGATCATTTTTTGCCAACGACGGGGGCATAAGCGTCAGAGAATATCTGGATAACTCTCGTGAATTCCTCAACTATCTCAGAGCGATGTTTTACGCATATCGTTTACATAAAGTGGCAGAGAGTAAATCCACCGGTACGAAATCTACGATTCCTGGTATTAAAGAATTAGCAAATGAATTTAAGTTGCAACTCCGAGATGGCATTCGGAACGAAAACAGAATCGTATTTTATAAGCCGGCAATAAACAGGAGAAGAGTTAATTTTATGATGGGCCGTGAGCGATTTTTGGAGTGGATCCCACTGAAAAAAGAGTGAACTGATTCATGGAACTTTTTTGCCTGATGGAACGAATATCGTTAAACATTTCAAAAAATAATGGCCAATTATGAAAGCTTTGATTGTTAACATTTGGGACAGCCTGTAATACATTAGAAACATTACAATACAACAATAATACAGTAAGGAAACTTTATACAAACAAAATTCACATGCATAATTATTGCTCACAAACACGTTTAAGAATTAATCTTAGTACTCTGAAAGGTAGCTTGTAAAAAATAATCATGATTAATTAATTTACACATTTACACGCATGAATTTTCGCACACGAGCATGGTTTTTTATTAAAATGTATTATTTTTCAAGGTTTACATCAAAATGTGTTATTTTTCATAGTTTACATTAAAATCGCATTAAAATTATTATCATCAAATTTGATAATTTTGCCATTGCAAGAAAGACTAAAACTAATGGTGCCCTCGTTTGGGTTTTACGCCATGCATATTGCCACGCCCGGCTTCGTTCGCGTTTTTTGTCGTCTATTCCCTTTTAGAATTTAAAATTTAAAGGAGAAAAATTCACCAGTTCACCTAGAGCACCCTAAAATAGTAAGATCAGAAAGTTTGGTTGCGTATATTATTGAAACATGTAAAAAATATAGTTCTGCGAAGTTGGCAATTTTTAAATTAGCATTACGCGCGAAAAAGTCTCACTATACATTCCTAAGCGAAAGACTTTTCCGTTTCCCGAGTAATTTTAATTTATACAAAATTTGCCAATACACACGGCAATGTTTTTAACACTTTCCAATACTTCGTAATTAAACTTTCCAATCTTACTACATTTTGGGTGCTCTTTCTATTTGTATAGTGATTATTTCTTCTAATTTTAAATCTATAGTTAAAGAGGGTTTAGCTTTAATCAGCAGTTTCATATTAACTGATGGAATAAACAGGGAGGAATTTCGTTTTAAACTAATCGGCATGCATATTTGTTTACATTTTTGAATGCATAAATCTCTTAATACTCCATGTAAAATGGTAAATAATGTAACTTTTTACCGAAAGTAGTCAAAATTTATGTATTCTGATTGGGTTATTGAAAATGTAAACAAACTAGCTTGCTGATTGGTCTAAAACGAAATCCGCCCGTGTTGATGAATTAAGGAATTTAACCGGTTTCGAATTCATCAGAAATCATGTGAACGTTTTCTGTAGCATTGCCCTTAACGGTTAACAGACATTTTAGACAACAAATTTGAATTAAAGAAGCGTGGTACATGTGAAGTAATCGCAACGTAAATTATTTACTGAACAAAAATTAGAATATACTTATAGCTTCGCAGTAGTGTAAACTATCGAGGAATTAATCTACCAAAAATCTCCTACCTTTCTCTGTCGGTGTTGAGGAGAAATATACATACCTTGGCAAAGATTCCTTTATTAACTGTCTTTCTCCGATATCAATAGAAACAGATATCTCTCCATCCTCTAAAAATACCCGGCATTTTTTTATCTATTGCTGTAAGAGTTTTTTGGTGGTAGTGGACAAAAGAATTCTGTTGATTTTTTTTCAATTGTGCGCCGTCAAGGGATTGCTCTTCGGTTGAATTCTCAAAATCAAACGAGAAATTTGGCTTGATCGAGAAATATAGTGCAGAGAACAGCGCAATTTGGATAGCTATTCGATTGGATAACGTGCATGCAAGAAAGCATGGATACAGCCAATAGGCGCTTGGCTTAGCATCTGGACACTTGAAGTCATTAACGACGACTTCTTTGAAATGTTAGAGATTATCTTGGAATCTTGCATGAGATGAGCACGAAGTATATATAAGCAATTAAATTTTAGAATCGAAAGAGATTTATAATATATCAAGAAATGCAGTATACTGACCAGCATAAATATCTGGTTTCAAGTCAGTCACCGTTTCCGAGAATGGAATATAATTCGGATGTGCGACTGTTTTTGGTTTTAGTAGACACCTAAAATGGAATCATATCGTGATAACACAAGTTAACAAGGAAACAATTGTTCTTTAACTGTATTTGACTGTATGTTTAGTTGCTAAGGTATCTCACCATTTTGAGAACATATTATCTTCTGGTGGATGCACACGGGGAAACATAGATTGTCTTAATACCTCCTCTGGTAAATGCACAAGATTTTCAAGCTGAAATAGAATTTAAAATTATATAGGTCATAAATTAAATCGAGTGATATTATACGTGCATTTTCAGAAACCTTTTTATGTTATTACCAAAATAGCAGTTATTACCAATGATCTATCTCACATCACGTACCTTATGGTAGAAATGGGAAAGGCAGTGTGGAATAAAGAGATGTTTCGTATAACATAACTACGGTTCATGCACACGTATGCATATTCTGCGAAGCCATATTTTGAGCAATATAAAAAGTAGCGCTTGGATGGATGGACGGATGCATGCATTTCTAATAATTGCATGTGTGAAATACTGCCCATTTTTCGTGTGTGAGGTTATGCAGCGAAACAGAAAATTCTCAAAAACAATCCTACCTGATCTGAAAAACCATATCCAAATACTCCATAAGAGAATGCAAACTCGAGTTCTACAGCCCCAACGTTCTATAAGTTGTATCAAGAAGTTTCATTTCGCAAACCTTTCTCATTTCTCTTTGTTAATTTTAGAGAACAATTACTGTATCAGTATTCCCATTATCGTCTGGTAAAGTTTAACCCAACCAGTAAATGTTTATCATCAATTTGGTAATCCAGGGTTAGGGTTGCATGTCTACCTGTTTCTTCCTGTTCGTCAATTCGTATTTATCCATTGACCAGCCTATCTGTTAGCAACAAAGCAGTATGATAAAATAACATTCGATCTAGTACAGCGACTTCGTGGTATGGGCATATTCACATATTTCTAATGCACGTATTTCAGAAGTTTGATTCTCTTCACGACTGACCGAAGTCTTGGGCAAAATCATTATACAAATATCTTAGACCTTGATATTTTCGTTAACAACGAAATCGAGAAACCTAACCTTTACTAGTTTGTGCACATGAAAGGCTACTTTTCCAATGAGTCTGTGCTTGTTCTGATTTTCATCGTTATACCCAAGTAGGGAGAAAACTGCCTGATTCGACCAATCCTTCATTTGGGAAACAATCTAAAACATATGTTTGTTTTCCCTTTGGTTCGTCTTCTATAAATGAGGATGCATCTTTTGATGTTTGCGAAATGTTCTGTAGACACATGCAAAATATGTGTGCCGTGTATGCCGTGTATATATAACATCCCCCCCCCTTGGTGTACTTTAATTTTAATAACGTTCACTGTCCACTCAAAAACCCCGACTTATATTTAATAACCTCATATGCTGTATTCCATTAATCAATCCGCCTCTCAATGGATTTCCCATTGTTTTTGCACTCCTTTCCTCTCACTCGTAAGCTATAGTAGCCCGAAAATATGTTTCAAGTTTCATACATTGCAGTCAGTGTACTAATTGTACTACATACACTCAAATTGCAAACATGCGTCACTGACTTCGATACATGAAACTGGACACACATAGCTACTTCTGGGCTACCTATAGGCGCCTTATAATAAGGTATGTATATACCTATTAACTATAACTTATAGTTATAGTTATAGTTGTATATACCTATTAACTATAACTTATAGTTATAGTTATAGTTATAGTTATAGTTATATATACTTTTTTTATAAAAGCTCTCAGGCCACTCGACTCACTGTAATAGGAAAATTTAGGACTTCGTTCCAGATGATTTTTCCTTTTTTCGCCTGTGTTGTAACCGAAGTGCTCTTCACTAACGTCCCAACGGATACTTTACCGTAAAGTTGGTAGCTATCAGGAATAGAGTCTCCATCCATTATCAAATGCTGACAACCAAATACATGTACGGACAAGACGCCAGCCTTTAAATAAGGAAACTATTTGTTGCATGCATGTTTCTCCGACTTGTGTTTTCTATGGAGATACTACAAATACTTGTTATTCTGTTCCAAAATCCTGACAATGGGCGTTTACAATATGTATATATTCACCAAAGACCGTTGCATGTGACAGGATGGAGTCCAGTATGACTGGTAGTACCGTAATCATGCTAAGAAGGAATTGATGGACATGAAAACACTAGCTTGGAATCTTATGTTGCTAGTGGCGTGTTGTTGTTTCAACTTTGATCGGATGAAAGAAAAACAGTTTGAATTACAAGAAGGTCTTAAATTGATATTGTTTTGCTAATATTTGCATAAAACCAGTAAAGAGTAATATGCTAATTTTCGGCTTGTGAAATTTATGAATAATTATACCCAATTAAAAAGGTCACATGCACACCCTGTTACACCATACAAATAAGATTGATGAATAAGCAAATCAATTACATCAGTTATCGGAATTATTACAATCTTATTTAATTCAAATTCATTTCACAAGTTGTTTATTGCCGGCTTGTGATATTCAAACAACACGACCACTCGTGTTGTAAACAACACTTGCAACAATAACGGGTCGTCAGCATGGGAAAGTGGCTGTTATAAAACTTTTTCATGAATAAGCAACCATTAAAAATGATAGTTATTAACAATTATTACTTGCAATGTTTATGTTATTGGTGCTATTGAGGCGCTTATGTCAGTTACTGCAAGTACCTAAACTAGTGATATTATAACGACAAAAGTAAGGCCTGTAGTAATATAATGGAATGGTGTAACACCATGGAAAGATCTGGACTGAAACTAGAACGATGATAGGAGGAGGCATGGGAAAGTGATTACTCACATATTCAGTTTTGCCCGACGGATTTCTTTTGTAATTGCAAAAGCTTACAACAGCAATGCGTTAGGCATAACTTAATATATGAATAAACACCCCTCAATTATCGTTCTAGTTCAGGCCGTGGGAAAAATCTCTATCCTTGTATGTTAGAGTGAGTGCCTAGGGCGGTTTACACTTACAGGAAGGTTAGCGTTTTGTTTCAGGAAAGCATCATCCCTATCCTCCAGTAACAACGTTGGATTTGCCTCAGCTTCACCACCATCTCCTTCAAATAATAATTTGTTTCTTATGTATGCTTCATAAAGTGATATTTAACCACAGGTAGCCCGCTATCAGGCGCGCAGGCCGTAGTATGCATTATGATTTAACTAATATTTAACAAAAATAAATCGCCTATGGTATCAATCGTTATTAGTTTTATTGGAACATTACAAGAATATTTTAGTTATTATTGATGCATTTATAAAAACAAATTTGAATATAGGCACAATGAAAATGTTAAAAATCGATCAATTTAGCAAAAAAAAGTTTAATTGAAAAGAGATGCATGCAAATCTCCTTCGCATTTAAAGAACTGAGTTGGACTAACAACTCTTCATGACTCTCATTCAATTTCATCAACTTTTCCCAATTTACTTGCTCATGTGAACATAGACGAATTTCCATGTTTAGATGAAATTGTAAACAACAAAATGAGCACTAATTCATAATATTTCCCCCCAAATTTCTCTTTTTCTATATGCATGAACGGGGATGTAACTATTTGATATGGGAATCAAGACTTTATTCATGCATGCATGTTGCATTTTCCTGCAATTGTTCTTCGTTAACGTTACTTTATTATATGGCAAGCGCGAAATGGAGCTCAGTGATAGGCTGATAAGAATTTTCAGCTGTCCGTTGGATCGGCACTTTCCCGTAATTGACCGGCGTTACAGGCGATCCCTTATTACGAGGTGAAAAACAGAGAAATTCTGAGTAAAAAAGGCACAAATAAACGATCAAGAGAAAATTTAATTGCTTTTGGAATTAACAAGACGTCTCCACCCCAGACAATTTAGATAAACTAAACAATTCAATACTTTGTTGTTTTTTTATCAAATACGTACCAGGCTACTCATACGAATTCATGCATTTCTTGTTTGTTTCAAGTGCAAGTACATGCCTTACGGCTAATGCCATATAACAAACTTTTTATTAACCTCGCTTGCTGGGCCTGTACCGACAAATATCGGACCTCGATCTTTTTGTACAAACCTCGCTCTTCAAGCTCGGTCTTAGTCCGATATTTCTCGATAAAGACCCCGCGCTCGGTTAATAAGAAGTTAGTAATTGGTAAATTCTAGTGCTCAAATATGACATATGTGTTTAAAAATGCTTCGACTTTCTTCCATATAACACTGTCACTGATATACATGCAGGTATATCAGCATAGCTGAAACAGAATCCTATTTGCTTATTCTGTGGCTTATAGGTTTAAACGTGGAGATCATTATTCATGAGAAATTACATTCGAAGACCGGCTCTCATCACGCTGTTTCTTGGGTATATTGGAACGTATGTTTTTAGTATTTATGAATCCGGTTCTCAAGTAATTTGAGGGTTTATGTCATTTTTTAAAAGGCAAAGTATTAAGATTTTTTAGGATTGTATTAAAGTGTTTGCATATGTTGTCCGTAATAACAGACCAAAAGCTTTCATGAATAAATTCATCCGGGACTCCTTAAACTAATATTCACATAGGCCAAGCTACTTACCAAATATGCCCCATGGCCTTCCATCGCTTAAAAATCAATTGTAATCAGTTGTAATTTAAAAAATGCAGTTTAAAGAACGGCATTTAAATATCAAAAAAACTTTTCAAAATAAAAAATTATTTCAAAATTTGAGCCTTTTAAACCACGGTATGACATGCCAGTGGACATACGCGAAAATTATGCGCAATTCACTTTGCACATGGTTGAAAATTGAAAAATTTCTTGCTGTTTGTTGTAATCACTGAGATCAGTTGTTGTATTTTAAAGTATTGAAAGTTTAGTTAAATAATAGCCACCAATAATCATGGTTAAAGATGCTGAAATGAAGGACGCACAGGAAAATAACGAGGAAAAGAAGGACGCGGCAAATGAAGAGCTTTCTAAAGCCGAACTCGAAAAATTGACACTTGAAGGTAGAGCCGTAGAGGTTGATCGGACATATAATTTAATACTTCAAAGTTCATACATTATTTCTAGGTTTGTGATATCACGCAAATACGTAGTAAATTCTATCTAATCTCTGGTACCACAAACTATGAACAATATTCATAGCGTACATTTTTCCAATTTATAGTCGACTTGTGAGTTGTGATCTATCAGTTATATCAATGTCCTTAAATCCAAAACTTTTGATGTCCAAAAGTTTTACCAAAAGTTTTAATAATGATTATGGTTTTGCCATAAAGTACCTAAGGTTGAGGCACTTTCCACTGTGATACTGCATATGTAGTTTGGTGTTTGATTTCTTGTAAAAATGCATTGTCATCCCACCATAATATTGCAGTTATGATCCACAGATTGCTTTGGGCAATTTATGGCACAAACCGGCAGTACAAACGACCGGCAGTCCCTTTTAGATAAACTAAACAATTCAATACTTTGTTGTTTTTTTATCAAATACGTACCAGGCTACTCATACGAATTCATGCATTTCTTGTTTGTTTCAAGTGCAAGTACATGCCTTACGGCTAATGCCATATAACAAACTTTTTATTAACCTCGCTTGCTGGGCCTGTACCGACAAATATCGGACCTCGATCTTTTTGTACAAACCTCGCTCTTCAAGCTCGGTCTTAGTCCGATATTTCTCGATAAAGACCCCGCGCTCGGTTAATAAGAAGTTAGTAATTGGTAAATTCTAGTGCTCAAATATGACATATGTGTTTAAAAATGCTTCGACTTTCTTCCATATAACACTGTCACTGATATACATGCAGGTATATCAGCATAGCTGAAACAGAATCCTATTTGCTTATTCTGTGGCTTATAGGTTTAAACGTGGAGATCATTATTCATGAGAAATTACATTCGAAGACCGGCTCTCATCACGCTGTTTCTTGGGTATATTGGAACGTATGTTTTTAGTATTTATGAATCCGGTTCTCAAGTAATTTGAGGGTTTATGTCATTTTTAAAAGGCAAAGTATTAAGATTTTTTAGGATTGTATTAAAGTGTTTGCATATGTTGTCCGTAATAACAGACCAAAAGCTTTCATGAATAAATTCATCCGGGACTCCTTAAACTAATATTCACATAGGCCAAGCTACTTACCAAATATGCCCCCATGGCCTTCCATCGCTTAAAAATCAATTGTAATCAGTTGTAATTTAAAAAATGCAGTTTAAAGAACGGCATTTAAATATCAAAAAAACTTTTCAAAATAAAAAATTATTTCAAAATTTGAGCCTTTTAAACCACGGTATGACATGCCAGTGGACATACGCGAAAATTATGCGCAATTCACTTTGCACATGGTTGAAAATTGAAAAATTTCTTGCTGTTTGTTGTAATCACTGAGATCAGTTGTTGTATTTTAAAGTATTGAAAGTTTAGTTAAATAATAGCCACCAATAATCATGGTTAAAGATGCTGAAATGAAGGACGCACAGGAAAATAACGAGGAAAAGAAGGACGCGGCAAATGAAGAGCTTTCTAAAGCCGAACTCGAAAAATTGACACTTGAAGGTAGAGCCGTAGAGGTTGATCGGACATATAATTTAATACTTCAAAGTTCATACATTATTTCTAGGTTTGTGATATCACGCAAATACGTAGTAAATTCTATCTAATCTCTGGTACCACAAACTATGAACAATATTCATAGCGTACATTTTTCCAATTTATAGTCGACTTGTGAGTTGTGATCTATCAGTTATATCAATGTCCTTAAATCCAAAACTTTTGATGTCCAAAAGTTTTACCAAAAGTTTTAATAATGATTATGGTTTTGCCATAAAGTACCTAAGGTTGAGGCACTTTCCACTGTGATACTGCATATGTAGTTTGGTGTTTGATTTCTTGTAAAAATGCATTGTCATCCCACCATAATATTGCAGTTATGATCCACAGATTGCTTTGGGCAATTTATGGCACAAACCGGCAGTACAAACCGATCAAACTGTAATTATTATCGTTTGCTGACAGATTTTAATATATATCCAATTTGGTATTTGCTTACAAATGCAAACTCATATATTTTATGAATCAAAATGTCTTCTAATAGGCACTTTCGGCTGGCATAATGTAGTGCAACAGATCATCCAATTCTGTTGAGTTAATTTTCAACATAATATATATGGAAAGTGATCAGGGCATCAGGCCTGTTCCAATCTCAAGTTGGCTGCAGACGATCATTAAAATAATTGAATTTGGATGCCTTTTATCATTATTTCTTTTAAATAGCTGATGATTAGGATTGTCTTTCATAAAGTTCGAACTTTATGAAATCTAAAGAAATGTTTATTTTTTTACAATTTCTGTGTGCTAATTCAAGGCTACACAGGATTCTGAAAGAAAGCCAATATGTATATAACTAATCAAGTTCTTGTGCATAAACCAGCGAGTATTATACTCATAGTCTATGTTGACTAGTAAATGTAGTTAATATATACAATGAGCTTTTTATTTATTTTCAGATTTCAAAGAACATGTTAAACATGTCGAAAAGGGAGTAAACAGCAAAGAGCCACATTTCGTTTTGAGAGTTCTGAGATCTCTTCCATCAACAAGGAAGAAACTTAACCATCCTTTACTGAGAAAGCTCATCACTGGATATTTTATTCAAGGTGCAGTACTCTACTGAAAAAAATATATTCAGTCTCAAAATGTATTAACTAGGCACTTTTAGTATATACCAAAGCTCTACCACCAATGTCAACCATTTTATGTTGATTTATATATATATATATATATATATATATATATATATATATATATATATATATTATATAATATATATATATATATATATATATATACTGAATATTTAGTGACTTGAAACTATAATTCTGTACTGTGAAAATGTTCTCCATTTCTAAAAAAAGATGGGTTTTTAATTTTAAGCTATTTATTTACAGCATCACAAGCAAAAAATGAGCTGCTGAAATTCTTGGATGAGGTAATGCAATTACTAATTAGAACTGTTTACAACTGTATTTTAGCTGAAATTAGGCTATTTGGAATTGTAAAGAAACCTTGGAAATAGAGGGTTGCCAATGTTATATTGTGAATTCCTCTGCTTGAACTGTCCCACACATTATTAAATTAAAAATATTTTTGTACAGACAGTATAGTTTCCCATATGAAAAGAAATTTATCCATGTAGTACATACTAAACATAATCTTACCCATGATCTGTGTAACCTCTTTAGTAGGTTGCATGAATCTTTCTCTATTTGAGATTTGTAACTTTAGAAATCAAAAGTATATCACTGTTCAGACAGCAAGAAAGTGCTAGTGGAAATACAAATTTACATACATATAACTTGAAAACTAAATGCACCTACGCACCTACCTTTAAGTCTCTTGTCAAGATAACTATAAGTCATATTTAATAAAGTTCTACCAACGAATTGAATTTCTACCCAATATCATAGCCTATGGAAACTGATGTGTCAAGCACATATCGACCAAGAACTGGAAAAGCTGCGACCACTCCTGTATTACCAGAAGTCGAGTTTTACTTTCATCTCCTGGTTGTTATTCATCTTATTGATACCGAGGCTTATGAACAGGTAAATTGTTACAGTACTTATAGGGGCACGCGTGCACCTTTAGAATTACTTTAAGTATTAAATTATTTAAAACATACAGACACACATGTTTTTTTCATGAAAAAATCTGACTGTTCCCCCCCTAGATGTTCCATAACAACTAAAACGTGGTCTCCTAATAAATTTAAATTAACTTAAATTGATTCCACTAAAGCGTATATTAAAAGTTCTTCAGAAATGCATCATTAATTGTACAACTCGAAAAATTTTAGCTTGCAGCGATTATTTCCGAACTGCGCCGTTTTTAAAACCAGATGCAAAAAACTGTTCGTTGAATTTCAGTTTACAAATCGTAATCATCATTACAATTCGTAGTCCACTTACTTATAGTTTTAGAATTAGAATTAGAGATTTGTTGTATTAAAAGAACGAAACCTCGATTGCTGTGAATTTGTTCCGATTTTCTTTCAGTCTCCATATATTCGCAAATATCATTAACGTTACCAACCGGGCAAGCTGAAAAATTAGCTTGACCACAATGGGAATCGAACCCGCGACCTTTGGTTTGCTAGTCCAATGCTCTTCCAACTGAGCTACAAGGTTAAGACGGTTCGAGTGATCAAGCTAATTTTTCAGCTTGCCCGGTTGGTGACTCAGAGTAGCAACATCACTTATACATTTAATATACACACCTGAGTCTTTGCATTATCACTATCATTAACGTTATTACTATTAGTTTGTGTTTTCTTAATGGATGACCACATTCTTCGTTTGATTCACTTTAAACCCACGCGCAGTCATTCGACAGAAGGTTTAGCATTATTCGACTTCTATCGCGGTTATTCTGGATTTGCGAAAAAAGCGAACCGGTTTCGGGTAATTTACAGCAGAATACTGAAACGAGAGTGTAAAAACATATATGCACGATGCATAGTGATTAATGTATAAAATGAAACATAAATTTATTTTCCTGGCTGCTAAATAAAAAGAATAAAACCTAAAAACTTACTTTAAATCAGTTTTTTTTTATT